AGAATCTTGGGGTGTTTTGGTATGTAATTCGAAATTGAATGGGGGTCGGTTTCTTACAAGCTGTACTTTGTGATAGGTCTGAAACATTAGGCAGTTAGCGAGGCTATTGTATAAAGATTGGGAAGGTGGTGAGTGGGAGGAGTATGAATGTATTGTGACTGGGACAATAGCAAGAGAGACAACAGCAATTGGAGCTTACCGAAGGACCGTATTCCTGGGGCTCCTGGACACCGCGTTGGCTGGCAAGCATGCTCATTGTCGGTACGCGGGAAGAGTCTGTCGTGAATCGACGCATCAATCCCCCACGGCCATCTTGCGGGTGAGAATGAAGAGGCTGGGACTGCCGGGCGCCATTTCGAGGAGGGGATACGAGCCCGAGTAAGGATGATTCGTTTCTGGGGGATTGCTGGCTGCGAAAGCGCAACTCGTCCATTCGATCGCCGGTGCTATTCGAATAGGCCATCTTGCAAGGCTAAAATACTGCAAAGCGTCAGATTTTGCATGTCTGCCCACGGCGGGCGCTGGACTCGGAGGGGATCTAGGTGGGGTTGAGTTGGGTTGGGTTGGGTTTGGCTGCTGGAGTTGTGCGATGCAGGCAGATCGACGGCCAACATCTGTGTGTCTGCATCTCTGTGCGTCTCTCTCCGTCTCGAGCGTCGAGAGGAGCATAGGAGGGGGTTTTGGAGCTTACCTGAGGAATTATAGGAATTATACAAAAGGGGGGAGGTAGGGCCAGCGAGTGTCCTGTCCTGGAGACCAGGCGCGGAGCAAAAGAATTGTTGTATCCAGAGAAAAGACGGTGGATGGGACGGTGGTGGAGGTGGTGGAGGGCGAAGTCGAGGTTTGAAACCCCTGCTGGACTGGACGGCGGTTTCGCGTACTGGGTGGAGCGAGTACGGGAGTTCCTGGACTGCTGGAGACCCTTTGAAAGCTAGAATTTAGGGTTGTGTTGGGGGTGGAGGGGGGGTGAGGATAGTTTGGCTTGGGATTGATTGGAATTGGGGTTGTGCTTGGGAGTGGTATTGGGATTGGGGGTCGATATATCGGTGGTTGGGCGGGGGGGGGCAGCCAGGAGGAGGATTGGTGTATTGATTGATTGATTGATGATCGATTGATTGTCTGGTTGCCCAGGCGCTGACACGGGAAAATAGATAGAAAATAGAAGCACCGGTTTATGGATACATTATTGTTACAGCAATGAGCGAGGGAAGACCTGGAAGAGGAGGAGGGAGAGGCGGAGGGGAAGAGGGGGAGGAGGAGGAGGAGGAGGAAGAGGGAGTGAGGAAGAAAGAGGAATTCGGATGAAGATGTCGATACACGCCTCCCCTACACCTCCCCTACACCTCCTTACCCAGGCCTATTACAGCGCCTGCAGAGCCTACAGCAGCCTCTGTGCCGCCCTCCTCCAGCCCCTAGAAGCCCCTACTACAGCCCCTAACAAAGCCCCGAGCATCCTCCCAGCAGCCGTCGTCTAAAGTGGCTCCGGCGCCAGAAGAATAGCCAGCAGTCCAGCTCACCGGCGACAGGGACGCCCCCGTACTTCGTCCTGCACTAGCCGTCGCTGGTCCACGCAACTCGACGCCTGGCAGAGGGCAGCGAGGGCGAAGGGGAGGAAGGAGATGGATCTACCCGAACGCCACAGGGACCGAGAGACAGTAATACGGTCCTTTAGCATGTTCATCTTCTTGTCGATATTCTTGTTCATGTTCATGTTCCAGTCCAGTTCCGGTTTCAGTGCAATACAAAGGACGGCTACAGGCTACAGCAAAGGGAGGCGTTCCAGACGATGGAGGGGTTCGGGAGGAGAGGGCAATGCTACATACAATCAATACCTTACCTACCCGTAGGCACTCCATGCCACTTCATGCCACTCCATAGTACCGTACATACATGCGCTCGAGAGGTATCTTGACGCCTATTGGCCGCTATGCACGCGCGACGCCAGGCATAACTTGACAGAGGTGTTCGAGATGGCTCGACGAGGGACAACAAGCACGAACGACGAAGGACGAAGGACGAGGAGACAAATAATAACCATCCTGCCCTTCGTCTTGTTAAATCTCTGCTCCTCTGCCACCTGCCACCGACCTACCTGCCTCCTCCTCCCTCTCCCAAGCCCTGTCACGGCCGGGCCCGGTATCACCGATTGTGATATGCAAAGCCTGGATAGATGATAGATCATAAATCAGAGATAGACCAGAACATCCCCAGATTTGTGCGCACTGCAGCCCAGACAAGGCTCGCATTGTGCCCTATATGCAGCGGCGGCGGGGGGATGAACTGAGGATCATGCTTCGATCTGCTCTGATATGCCCGACTGCTTGCCCTCTGGGCTCGCTGTTGCAGGAGGAGGCGGCGACGGAACTGGATCCCGACTCCCAAGAGAAGTGACAGGACGTGTACAGCACGAAGTACAGGACGGTACCGCGCTCTGAGCCGACTAGGGCCAGAAGCAGTAAAGCACGCAGTTAGCACTAGCTCCCACCATACGACCATAGGCCCGAAGCGGCGGGAAGAGTGGAGCGGATATGTGGTATTGGGGTTTCTCGAATGGCGGTGAGCAGACTCAGCAAAGACTCAGGAAAAGACACGAAGAACGGAGGGCGAAGGATGGAATATCTGGATGGCTCTGGATTTTCAGGGGGTGTGTTTCACGTGATGGTCTGGTCACATGATATGTCACCCACGGCTCCTCCAGTTCTGCCGCTATTTTGCCGGTTTAGCCCCGTGCGCTGCAGCTGGTCGGTGCTCGGTGGCAGCGTGGCCCGAGCTCCCTTCACATATGTGATTAATAATTTATTAGCTAAGAGATTTTCCCTACAGAGGATCGGGCTCTGGCGGGGTTGATGCTTGGTCACTCGATGGTGCGAGGCTGCCGAGATAATACTCCGTACGGCGATAATATAATTTTTTGAACTTCAGCTTGATCCCTCCAGCACAACACCAACCACTGCTGCACCACCCCCACCAATCCAGCAATGCCTCCCAGAAAGAAGGCTCCTGCTGCAGGGCCTGTAGAGGTTGCAGCAGCTTCAAGTTCGCAACCCGAGAAACCTGTAAGTTTTGTCCACAGAATCTGCCGTGCGGAATGGCCCCTCATGGTATGACTAGACTGCCGATCCAGCACAAGGCGCTGCCCCGGCGGATGCAAGCACAGCTACAGACAATCCGAAGCGCAAACGAACCAGAACGACAAAGCCGGCCCCAAAGGTGGAACCAGAGCCGCCCATAGGAGATGATGTATGGCCTCCTGCCCTGCCACTGCACCGTGGCCGTGCTGCTGTTCTAACGCTGACTCTTCCGCTAGACGTTTTCCGCCTTGCTCGAGCCGTTTTATGGAGGGAAGAGCATGACCGATCCGATCAACACGGCCAAGGTATGCTCCCCCTGATCTATTAAGAAAGTGGCCTCATCTAACCCTGTGGATAGGACAAGTGGAATCTACTACCCGCTTTCTTGAAGGTGAAGGGCCTGGTCAAGCAGCATATCGACTCATTCAACTTCTTCGTCGACAACGAAATACAGCAGATAGTAAGGGCGAATAAGCGGGTGACCAGCGATGTGGATAACAAGTTCTGGCTCGAGTGCGTATTTCTCCTTGTTGCTGTGGGCTACATGCTTATTGGGAGTACAGGTACACCGGCATCCACGTTGGGGCTCCCGAGCGCCTCGATTATGACGACCGCAAGCCCCAGAATGAAATCACCCCCAACGAATGTCGCCTGCGGGACATGACCTACGCGGCGCCGATTCGGGTCAGCATCAAATACACTCGGGGGAAGTCTGTTATTGCGAGGAAAAATATTGCCATTGGAAGGATGCCGATAATGCTGCGGAGTTCCAAATGTCGCCTGGCTGGGAAGAATGATCGTCAGATGGCTCACATGAACGAGTGTGCGCTGGACCCAGGTGGCTATTTCATTGTAAACGGAACAGAGAAGGTCATTCTTGTGCAAGAGCAGTTGAGCAAGAACAGAGTCATTGTCGAGGCCGATCCCAAGAAGGGCATTGTCTCTGCATCAGTGACGAGGTAAGCCAGACTGGATCTGTTTCCTAGTTCCACCGGATTAACCCCTCCTAGTTCCACCCACGAGAGAAAATCCAAGAGTTACGTCCTCATGAAAAAGGAGCGAATCGTTCTACAACACAACATCCTCCAAGAGCCCATACCCATTGTCATTGTACTCAAGGCCATGGGTATTCAATCGGACCATGAAATGCTCATGCTGGTCGCGGGTGCGGACAGCGCGTATCAAGACGAATTCGCCGTTAACTTTGAAGAGGCTGCAAAGCTCAACATCTTCTCCCAGCACCAGGCCCTGGAATTTATCGGAACGCGAGTCAAGATGGGCGGAAGGAACAGAGGCCCGGGCGGACACCAACGTCGGAATTATATTGGGGATGGACTTGAAGCCCTTGCCAACATCGTTATCACGCATGTCCCGGTCATTGGCCTCGATTTCCGCCCCAAGGCGCTATACGTTTGTTTTATGGTTCGCCGCGTCCTGATGGCAATGCATGACCCAAAACTTGTGGATGACAGGGATTACGTTGGCAATAAAAGACTGGAGCTTGCCGGGCAGCTTTTGTCGCTACTCTTTGAAGATTTATTCAAGAAATTCAACCATGACTTGAAAATGAACATTGACAAGGTTCTCAAGAAGCCAAATCGGACAATGGAATTCGATGCATATAACCACATGCAATCGCACGGAAATTATATTACCCTTGGTATGAACCGAGCTATCTCGACTGGTAATTGGAGCGTCAAGCGGTTCAAGATGGAGCGGGCCGGAGTAACACATGTTCTAAGCAGACTGAGTTATATCAGTGCTCTTGGGATGATGACTCGAATCAGCAGTCAGTTTGAGAAGACTAGGAAAGTCAGTGGTCCTCGAGCTCTGCAGCCTTCACAATTCGGCATGCTTTGCCCGTCCGATACCCCAGAAGGTGAAGCATGTGGTCTCGTCAAGAATTTGGCGCTTATGACGCACATCACAACGAATGATGAGGAAGAGCCCATCAGGAAGCTAGTCTTCGTTCTTGGTGCAGAAGACATCGTCTCTATGAGCGGCCAGGAGATTTACGCGGAGGGTGCATATGTAGTCTTCGTCAATGGTACTCCCCTTGCCCTTACGAAGCAACCCAAACAGTTTTTGAACTCTTTCCGAACGTTTCGACGCATGGGTCGCGTTTCGGCGTTTGTTAGCATCTACATCAATCACCACACAAATGCCGTCCACATAGCGACCGATGAAGGCCGAATTTGTCGGCCGCTGATCGTGGTCGAAAACGGCAAGTCCAAGGTCACTAAACGCTCTCTCGAGGCTTTACGGAAATGGAAGATAGATTTCGACGGCTTCCTTCATCGAGGGCTCTTGGAGTATGTGGATGTCAACGAAGAAAACGATTCCAATATCGCGCTTTACGAGAACGAAATCGAGGAGTCTACAACCCATCTTGAAATCGAACCCTTTACTATCTTGGGCGCTGTGGCGGGCCTCATCCCATATCCGCATCACAACCAGTCTCCTAGAAATACCTACCAGTGTGCTATGGGTAAGCAAGCCATTGGAGCCATTGCATACAATCAGTTCTCACGAATCGACACCTTGCTCTACCTTATGGTCTACCCTCAACAGCCTATGGTAAAGAGTCGGACCATAGAGCTGATTCATTACGACAAGCTTCCTGCTGGCCAAAATGCCACCGTCGCTGTCATGTCATACTCTGGATACGATATTGAGGATGCTTTAGTGTTGAATAAAGCATCCTGTGACAGAGGCTTTGGCAGATGCCAGGTCTTCCGCAAGTACTCGACACGGCTACAAAAATACCCCAACAGATCTGCAGATCGCATCGGAGATCGAGTGATGGACGAAAAAGACCCAAGCAAGCCAATTAAGAAACATGCCATCTTGGGATCGGATGGTTTGGCAATGGTCGGGGAGCAAGTCAACATGGGCGAAGTCTATCTCAACAAAGAGGTACCACTCAACACGACATCGACAGGAATTGGTTCAGACTACGGCACAAACGAGCACAAGCCCGCGCCCATGACATATCGCCTCCCTGATCATAGCTACATCGACAAGATCATGCTCTCGCAGACCGAAAACGAAAGTATGGTGGTCAAGGTACAAACCCGACAGACACGTCGTCCTGAGCTCGGCGACAAATTCTCCTCTCGCCACGGACAGAAGGGTGTCGTGGGCATCATCGTCAACCAAGAAGACATGCCCTTCTCAGACTCGGGCATAAACCCCGACATAATCATGAACCCCCACGGTTTCCCATCCCGCATGACAGTAGGAAAGATGCTCGAAACCCTATCTGGCAAAGCTGGCGTCCTCAACGGGACACTGGAATACGGAACGGCGTTCGGGGGCAGCAACGTCGACGACATGGGCCAGATCCTCATTGACCACGGATTCAGCTATTCAGGCAAGGACTACCTCACAAACGGAATCACCGGCGAAGCCTTACCGGCATACGTCTTCTTCGGCCCCATCTATTACCAGAAGCTCAAGCACATGGTGCAAGACAAAATGCACTCCCGCTCCCGCGGCCCACGCGCAATCCTCACCCGCCAGCCGACCGAAGGTCGATCCCGCGACGGTGGTCTACGTCTAGGAGAGATGGAGCGGGATTGCCTGATCGCGTACGGCGCGAGTCAACTTCTGCTCGAGCGACTAATGCTGAGCAGCGACGCTCACGAAGTCGATATCTGCGAGGTCTGCGGTATGATGGGGTATCAGGGCTGGTGTCAGACATGTCAGAGCACAAGAGGCGTGACGAGGATGACGATGCCGTATGCGGCGAAATTGCTGGTGCAGGAGTTGCTGAGTATGAATGTGCTGGTTAGGTTGAAGCTGGAGGATGAGTTTCCGCACCCTAGATAGGTAGATATGGCTATTGTATTATGAGGGATGGGTGGGGGTTTGGTTATGGTGGAGTTGTGGATCGATGGGTAGGTGTGATGATGATAATGGTTTGCTTTGCATAGCCGCGGCGTACTGGGCTGGGTAGATTGGTAGATACCTCGTTGATTGAATTAATCAATGCTCTTGAGAAAGAAATATCCCCCGTTGGTACCGTAGAGTGCGAATAGCTACGTACAACTTCCCCCTTATTTCTAATACATATCGTAAAGAGTAGTAGTGCGAGGACATACATAGAGGGCTTTTAAGCCTAGTTTTTCCTTAATAAAAGATCTAAACCCATAGTTGTTATAACTTAAAGGGGAGCTTAATTGTAAAACCTGTAGGAGGAGTTCTACACTTTAGCTAATGGATGGTGGCCTAGACATACATAATATGTAGATATTATGTTATTTATAAGCCCTATTTGAGGTATCGATAGGTAACATTACCTTCGGCATGTATCTAATGTACAACGAACGCCACGTACGCCTCCCTCATAACGATCCACGATGCTTTTCCAATCCCGACGCCATGCTATACTCTGTATCCCCAAATCTTTCTACATGAAATCCAGTAGAACCTCCCCAACTACGCTGCTATGCAGCTGTAAATAAAAAAGACTTAAAAAGTTCTACTCCTCCTTCTCAGCCCACGCAAATCGCCTAATATCATGGCCATATCCAACATAAAGACTCTTCATCCTATTCTCGCCATCCCTCGCAAACCTCAAGCATTTAACATGCCCTCCATGGACATTCTCGCCGGGAGGTAAATATTTAGCTATCTGCGGCGAATGCAAAGCGTGTCCTCCATGAAGCGAGAACAGCTGAACAGGAGCATGGAGCTCGTCCCACTCCTGCGCAGCTGCCACGACGCCCGTCTCCAGATCGACGTCGAAGCCGCTTTGTATGGTGGCTGTGTTGAAGTAATCTAGGTATTGCAGGATGGGGTTTGTTGGAGTTGAGTTGCTGAAGGATTTGAGGTGTTTGCCGGACGGAGGAGCGGCCTGGGGGGACTTTTTGCAGAAGCGGAGGTCGTATTGACAGAGGCTTGAGTTTAGGCCTGCGACAAGAACCCGATGAGGGTCGAGTTGCTTGATATGAGTGATTGAACTTCGGTGCTCGATGACGTCTGTGAATTGGTGAATGCTTTGAATGCGCCTATCTTTCATATATAAGTGACCTTTTCGGCCGCCGGCAAGAAGGGCCCAGGGATTATCAGCTGGGACGTCTAGCGCGAATATATCTTTTGGGCAGTGGTTATCCGCAGTTGGTATGGGAGTTACCCATCGTGTGTTTAAAGTCCGTATGTCGGTGAACATTATCCCGTGGCTGGTTCCGTATGCGAATAGGAAGTCAGAGCTGGAATTCCCTGCTACCGATGAGTAGACGCTCACTTCCGGGCCTCGCGATATACCGGGGCCTAGGAGTATATCGGTCCACTCTAGCACTAACAACGGCTTAGTGAATGAAAGTTCGGTATATGGCCTTTCTACGTACCATAATTATCCGGTTGCGGAGCTATGATAATCCCACAGTCGGGAGTGCCAGCAAGCCATGTAACTGCAACTCGGCCACTTGCGTGATGTGTACTCATCGATGTAGGGGTCCCTGGATATCCAAACATGTGGGACGGGAAACGGGGAGAGTTTACTTCATGAAAGGTGAGGTCACGACAAATATTAAGGCTTGTCTCCGTAGAGCTAGTATGCTCGTTTGCATTGGCTTTCAATGTGACTATCCCATAATTATTTGCTGTAAGAGGTTAGCTAGGGATTCAAGTCTAGGGAGGTGACCTTGAGAAATATACAGGCATTTCCCGATATTGTAGGGCGACGAAAACACCTATTTTAAGGAAACCCCGGGGGGTCTTGCAAGGTCAGACATACCAACTCGAATATTCAGCCGTGATGGGCCCAGGTCCGGTCGATGGTTTATCGCAAACATAGGATCCTCGAAAGTGACAAGGGGTACACTACCTTGAGCTACAAGTCCTCGGGCACACGCATCGGGGGCTCTTAGAGTACCTTGACCCTGTTCCCGAGCCAGGATCCCACCAGTTAATGGCTCCCTGAGGAGTTTGGGCCTGTGAATGCGGCCTTTTTGACGAGCTATTGCAAACGCCGTTGCTTCGGTTTTTTCATCACGTGTTTTGCGTCTTTTTACATCCTGGGAGGAGTATGCCGCACTAGCTGGGCTGCCGGACTGGATCTTGAAGTATTTCTTCTTCTCTTTGTCTATGAAGGTGTTAGAAGGGTTGATAGCGCCTTATAATATGACTTACCATAGTAGTAGCCCGGGATGTCAAGAGGTGGCCGGTCCATGTTGGGTCTCCTTTAGTTGGAATTTTGAAGAATAATTGCATGAAGTCATCTGGGGCAATCCGGTATTAAGGTTGTAGTTGACATATTGATGCTATTTCTGTGTAGTTCTGTGGCGAGCAAAAAAGTGTGAAGGTTGTTCTGTGGGTTCGTCTTGCTATATTGAAGATATACGGAGTACAGAGGAGGTTAGTTTTATCAGCCCACCACGTGCTTTTACTCTACGCACCTTGCCTAGGTAAGCTACGGAGGTGCGACGATCTTTAGTCCATCTCCTATCACTTATTCTCCCCGCATCAGTTACTCAACCATTCAGCGAACCGGTCAATTAGGGTGCTATTAAGAGTCTTGCGACCTTGCATGTACCCAATTGCTCTCTCATCTACGATTGATCAACCACCAAGATGGTCTATACATTAACTGTTCACCTCTACGCTAACGATCACCCCGACTCTATCGATCGCATCAAAGCAAAGCTCGTCGAAGCTGCACGAATTTACCGTCAGGACAAGGAGACAATCGACTGGCTAGTGATGCAGGATGTTCACGATCCGCGGGCGTTCACCATAGTAGAGCGGTTCGCAAATGAAGGGGTTTGTTTTCCTTTTGCTACCTTGGCTAATACCGATGCTAATCATTTCTTGCAATTTTAGAGTCAGAAATATCATCTTGAAAACCCATATTGGAAGACGTTCGACCCCTACGTTGTCCCACTCCTTGATCGACCTATGGATCTTCGCCGACATGAGGAATTGGACACTAGCAAGGACGTTGAAGTACCAGCCTAAACATGGAACCATCCGAAATATGAGAAACACATAGGAGTTTATACGACTTTTAAAGACCACACCTTCTTGATTCGAGACATACGTGCCTTCCTCTCCGACAATCCAGATGTCAATCCCTGGAGTAATTGGCTTGACTTTAATGTGAATGCCAAATATTAGCAACAGTGCGTGGAAGGTAACTTGAACATCAGCCATTTGACGAACTGAAGTGGCTCTAAAGGATAGGCGTCCAAATCTATAGATATTTTTGAGACACATTTGCTTAGTACCTGTGTATGATAAAGGCTACAAACGTGTATTTGCATTTCCAAGATGTAATCATAGCGTCTGGTTACAACTTGAATACATGATAATAGATACCTATTAGAGAGGACGGTAAGGTGGTACAAACAGGGTAAAACGAGCGAATTACCCTAGATTTATTCTCCTAGGTACTACTAGTATATAATTATTATAGAAAAGATTTCACAGTTTATTATACAACTTGAACAGTATATTTACCTAAATAGTTAATATTATAGATACTATTATAATATTCTAATAGATAGAAGTATTTTAGTAGTTCGAGCTAAGATTACTAGTAAGCTCCTCTTAGCTTTGAGACTGGTATAAATTAATTAGGTAGTACTGCGGGGGACGTGTTAGTATAGACACCTAATAGTATGATGAATAATAAAGTCAGCCTTGTATACAGAAGGCTAAGCTATATAACCACGAAGTATTAATTACATGCAAGTACCCTTTACTTTCTAAAGTGATATAATGTAATCGTTTGTCTTTAGAATTGTACAGAAACTATATAGAGTGGGTGGCATGATGAGCAATAACAAGCCAGACATGGACCGTCTCGGCCGGGCTGTGGAAGGCGGGCTACAGCCTTGTAAGCCTCGCCTGGCCTGTCCATCGCGCGCCCCAAAGCTCGCGGTTGTTCCGCGCCAGAATCCGTGCAACAACGACAACTATCGGGACACCCTGCTGGAGACGTAACAGCAACGCCGAGACGGTCTATGCGATAGAACGTATATTCGACATCCCCTCGTCCTCTTCCCTCTTCACTCTAAATTGACAATGCGAACAACCTCATCCTGCTTAGCTTGGCTGCTCACCTCCTGGCTATGGCTCCATTAGTGCTGTATGTATATATATCCACCGCGACTTAGCTAAGTACTGTGATAAATACACTAACAACTTACAGAGTGCAGCAAAAAACTAGATCTATCTACATCGACCTTACGAAAAGTGATGATGAGGATAACCAACCCCAGGTCCCAGTCCACACCCAACAACCGTTGACGCATCCAATCTCAACTTCCCCGATACTCCCACCGCCCTCACAATCAGCTACCTCTCGGCGTATCGTCTCAAAGACCGCCGGTCTAACTACCCGAATCATACCTAATGGCCATAACAAATACGATTTCAGTTTTACGCCAGGTCTCTCGAAAAAGGCGCCAGGTCCCTCGAGGGTTCCTTTACGGCCTTCCCCTTCTACGCCCAACTCTCCGGCCCAAAAAGGTCGGCCTATAGACCATTCTCCTAAAAATGGAGAAAACACAGATCAGGGTAGGAGCCTCAATCCAGGGCATGCTGTCAAGCGAAGGAAGGTTGAGGGTGGAATGGGCCATGGGCCTGGTGCTCCGCGCCCCTCACCTTATGCTTCCCAAGGTTCTGCATCTCAGGTCAAACCCGAGCCGAAGCAGGAATCCACCACACGTGGTTCCGCGCGGCGCACGTCTTCTGATTACCTCTCGGTTGAACACGGCAATGAGGTTCGGCAGGCTCTTGAGAAACAAGTCTTTCCCCATATCTTAGCAGCTTTTTCTGGACATCGGGGGAAGCTTTCTAGCGCTGATAGGGATTGCATAGGTCAAAAGGTTCGTACACGGGTTAGTCGATTAGTCTCATCCACGCTGCTCTTCTGACATTAATATCCTTAGATCGCGGGAGATCTCGTGAAGCCTCCTGTATTTATGCAGAACTTCCTTGCGAGTAACTTCAAACTGTCAGCCAAATACGAAAAGCAGCTCGCACTCCGCGCAGAGATATTAGTCAATCGATACACAAAGTTGGTTTTGGAAGGGTTAAGCATCCATGATTTAATGTTTCTGGACTCTGCTGATGCAGGATATGTTCCGATCGAGAGGACAGCTGACGGTCGCTCAAGTGAAAGCCCAGAATCTTCTGCCGCTTCTAATAGTGATGCCGAAACATCTGAATTGGAAGCTGTAGCAGTAGGACAGCGTCATCTACATCAGCCAAAACTACACGACTATTTCTCGTCACTAGCCACGTCACCCAGTACCGACAATGTTGGACCCAAGACGCCTGAAGATAGCAAGATGACCGGTTTTCCAAGCTCTTCAGCGGTAACGATCAGGACTCGGAGGAGCACCCGAAATTTACGACCTCAGACGCGCCCCACGACGCCCCCTCCTGTACCGGTTACAATAGGTGCCCAAACGGCCCTAAATGGATCCCGATCGAAGCAGTCTACTCGAAGTCATAAAGCAACCGGTGCTTCTACAGAACCAGCTTGCCAGAGAATTGAGCATCCCCTTGATGCTGCGGATCCTAAGAAAATCCATTCTTCCCATCACCGGGCTGGCCGATCTTACCTCACGACGCTACTGAGAGAACGTGAAATGACGGGAATAGGAGCCCTCAACTTCCGTCATGGCCAGACATCTTTTAGAACGGAGGCAATGAACAATCTTGAAGATTCCTTAGTTCCGAAATCACACTGGACCAATTGCAGTGGTGACATTGCTACTATCAGCTGGGCAGGCGAAGGTGCCTTTGTTTGTGGATGCATCGCACATTCTGATAGTTACAACATGCAATACAACAAACCAGGCAACTTAGTTTTCGGGTCACTACCTTCGGATACACTGAAAGCCGTTGCGGACCATCGGATTATTCGACCACTAATCGACCCCGATCAGAATAAAGAGAATGCATCACATGCTATGCGGCAGACACAAGACCCCTGGCTATATACATCTGTTGTCTCAGCTTCGTATAGTGAGACAAATGGCCTTACTTTCACAGCCAGCTTTGATAAGACCGTTAAGATATGGGCGGTATCAGAGGACGGATCATCTATGGCACTGGTTGGGACTTGGGACCATGATGACAAGGTGAATTTTGTCGTTACATCCCAAGTCCACAACCGTGTAGCTACTGCCGCTGATGTGTACAACGACGCTATTCGAGTGTACGATCCCGAAAAGGAAGATATTACCAACTCGCCATACCATACATACAGCGGGATCAAAGCCCAAGAACAGGCTAATGAGGTTCGGGCTCAGGATACCTGGGCATATTTTCCGGCCACTATACAGTGGGGCAAATCTCCGAGTGTCTCAAACCTCCTACTCGTTGGCTATTCGCCTCGAAGCGTCGCAGGAGATGATGCCGATATTCCGGAGGACAAGAAGAATAGCGGCGAGCTTTGTATTTGGAACGCCGAGGACCAGTCTCGAATTGCAATAGGCGCAGGAAGCCCAGGACGTACACAAAACGTTTTCGAAGTGGTGTGGCATCCGAGCCAGCCATGCTTTCTTGCGGCGACGTCCCCATGTGGGACCATTGCACCCGATAAAACTCGAACTCAGGTTCAATTTTTTGCCCAGAACGAATGTGGCGTTTTTATCAGCATTAGAGCTCTTGATTGTCCAGCTCTTGATATCAACGAGCTCACCATCATGTAAGTTCAATGCATCCTTTACTAGTGTGCATTAGAAGCCCTGGTAGATCCTCGAAATATTAGAGCGATTCTTTGCTCTGAATAGGAGCTATGTGTATTTTATTCTTAATTTCGGTCTATAGTAAAGCCTACTTGTGCTAAGGCCAGCGTGGCCATGGCGAGAAGGGGGTTTTAAAGGTTTTCGGGTCAATCACGAAACTTGGCATTCGCTATCATTGGCGTATAGAGCAATACTAATAGGGAACAGGCCCAACAGCAGACTTCATTGCTACGTCGGAGCTAGCTGTACTGACGGCAATACATATGTTTGGGATACTGCCGCTCGGAGTGATGAACCAATTCACATCCTAAATCACGGAGGTAGGTAACCCTCGATCTTGCTTTATAATTAGACAGTAATTGACTTTAAAAATAGAGTCTCTCGACAACCCCCTCCCGGATATCCCTCGCGAAATTGGTGACGCAGGAGTAAAGTTTGCAACTTGGGGACAAACCTGCGAGCGCTTGTATACCGGATCATCGGACGGTAGAGTAAACGCGTGGAATGTCCAAGCACCGCCTAGAAAGGCATTTATTCGAACGGTTCTCGAAGTCTCTGGAGGCATATCTGCTGGAGTCTTCTCGAAGGACTACTCTAAGTTGCTAATTGGCGATTCAACGGGGAAGGTTCATTTATTAGCGTTTGATGATAGCGACGCAGAAGTAGAAACGCCTCTATTAGACCCTCCTACCATTGGATTAGGCGCTAGACTGAGCACCTTGCCAGTAGCCATTCCCCAGCCGCCAAAGCTAGTCGTTCCACACGCGGAACCACCCATACCATCAAGTCCTGACGAGAAATCTAATAATATTAGTACTGACGAAGAGTCCGGCCCAGAATTAGCACATAAGTTCTTGGCAGAAGGCCAACTCATCTTATACCCAGATCCGCTAGTCGGTGCAGTACAAGGCCCTAATTACTATGAGACTAGCTTGTTTCGAGCAGAAGCTCACGAGGAGGAAGATATAAAAAGGCCCCTTAAACCTAGTTTCCGAGCTAGCCAGAAGTTCAAGAAGTCTTCTAGGGCAAAGCCACTTGATATTCCGAAGCTGAAGCTAGTTAAATGCTCGGGTATTGAGTTACACTTTAATAATCTAAAGCTAGACGGGGAATTCAAGGCCGAGAATATTGAATTTGAGTGCGATTGTCTACTTATAGAAGAGTTAGACTAAGTTTACGATATACTCTATTCTTTTAGTAATAAAGAGTTTTACTAGAAAAGAAAATATTTTACTTCAAAATACTTAACTCTAATATTTAAGAGGACGAGTTTATAAACTTCTTTTACTTTAAGTTATAAAATAAAATAAAATTATAAATTATAAATAATAAAAGTAACTAATATAATATAAGAAAATTTTATATACTAAATTAAAAGCCTAGACGAGTTTATTATTAACTTCTAGCTATTTCTACTTATAAAATAATATAGAATTAAAAGTTATATTTTTATTTATTTTTATTTAGCTAGTATTATATATAAGTCGCGGCTATAAATAATAGAATAGCTAAAGTTGACGCTATATCGCTTGGCTACTAGGGACGTTGTACAGCAACTAAAGGACGCTGTAACTACAGGGCCTGCAGGCTTATCAGGGCTCAAATCACGATATAGCGCACCGGCCCTATAAGCATTACTAAACGCACTGTTCCTTCAAGCTATCAAGCCCCTAAACTTCGTTGCTATGCCAGGCTTCTGTGGCGTCCTACAACTTAGTATCTACTCTTAGCTGTTTTATAACTTATAGCTGCGACACGTAGTAGGGTGTTGATATTCCATTGTTTTTCTGTCGTCCAGATTGCATTAGATACACATGCAGATCAGTAGGACCAATTAGGTATATAAGCTCCTGGCTCCTACTCCCCCTTCCGCAGAGAGCAGCTAGTTAGACTTTTGACAGCTGGACCAGGGAGAAGCGGTCCAGTTAGACAGACTATGAATACAATTGAATATGCTATACTTATATTAATTACTGGATCCTTTAGCTAGTAGTCCTTCCATATGCTCATATGCTACTACCTGAGTGCGCCTTGAATATTCACCTCCTCTAAGAACACTAAACCATTGGTTTAGTCTTCTTTAGCCATATGACCACCTGACGATAATCCTGCACCACGCCCGTCGCTCAATTGATCCCTATACCTTAGCTATCACAGTGGACATTTAGTTGTTTTATCTACAATTCCTCCTGATAATCTTACTAAAGGTCCTCCTAGCTCCTCTATATTATAAAAATACGTTTATTTTAGTAATTAATAAATATCTTTTAAAGAATATTATATATAATAAACTCGTTTTACTAGTATTTATAACTAACTTAGTATAATAAGTACTAAATTTAAATTTTTAGATTATATAACTATATATTATTAGTAATTATATTTTATATAAATAGTCTTACTAATAGATATAATATTAGTAAAGTTTATAGTAAAGTTTAAATAGATAGTTAAATAACTTTATTCTTTATTATTATAATATATACTAATATAAATTATATAGAATAGTTGAATTAGCTAGTAAGAGTATATAACTTCTGTAACTTAATTCAATTTAGTGGTATTTTGATGCCAACGGGTACTATGTCGGTAGTTAGGGATAGGGGTATATATATTTATCCTATTTTGTGCAAATTTACAAGTACTTTTATACCTACCTCCCTGCAAGGCGGCGAAGGCTCCATTCCGAACACAGCTCTACCTGTAACCTGCCACGCGACATGCGACACGCGACACGATTTAGCATCTACGGAGTAGCAACTGCGATCGATGACCACAGCCAACATGATAAGGCCGTTGAGGATGAGGAACGACTATCTGCCGAACGGCGGAAGCTTACTCTAGCACCTACAAACAGCGGTCCTACACAACCTTGTGAGCTCAACCAAAGCTACCGTCTGAAGCCTCGCATCATTATACCGCCTTCAACGGCGGAATTTGAGATCGACGATATGCAGGCCCCGAATAAGCCGCGGAATCTACCAACTCCTAAAGACGATGAACAATATTATACTTCAGGATGTCCTCGAACACCCTCTACTCCGAAAGATCCGATACTTGTTGCGGAGTATCAGGAATGGCCATTTCACGACTTGCTTGACTATACTAGGATTGAAAACGTTGCAACATACCATCCGCGGTTTGAGTTTCCGTGTATCCTTGAGTCGTCGAACTTACCAATCCCACTCAGATCACTAAGCATTAGTTCAAATAAGAAAACATTAGCACCAATGTAGCCTACGAGGCTATCTCACATTCTAAGTTATATCTAGCAGAGCTACCGAATTCAAAGCACACTACGTGGATGCCATAAGATGATAAGGCAGTATATAATATAAGAACGGCTGGCTACTCATAGGAGCAAAGGAACAATCCAAGTAGGGTATTCTACCAAGCTTAAGAAGTGATGGCGATAATATGGTTCCTCCTTTGCCACAATTCTTAGTGGATTCATCAAGTCCCTCGCGCATACTTCCCTCCATCCACTAAGACCCCTCCCGGATGTTTAGATCAACCTAGGCCTAGCACGATCGATCTATGTATGAGATGCTTGCGATATCGAGGCAATCGATGAGTGATATTTCAAGACACATGCTTGATGATATAGGTATAGCAGCTACTAGTACTATTTAGAGTATGATTAAGAAGAAGCGGGGAAGGAAATTGGGTACCACCAATCAAGCATCATCTTGAGTCCTCAGAACCATTTATACACCATGAACGATAAATGCAGGATTGATAAAACAAACAATGAGGCACGGCCAGGTCAGGTGGCGTAGAATATGACGATTAGACTAGAGAAATGTATACAACCTACAAGGAGTCAATGTATCCTGTATAAATTCAAATAGCACGAATTCCTCCACTAATAGGTAGTGTGGCCTTGACTCGAGCGTTTCAGAAAATTCAGTTAGCCGAAGCGTGGTAAGGTGCCTCGGATAACAAATCAGGCACTTTGGCGGAGTGGTTAACGCGATGCCCTGTTATGGTTTCGACCAAGCTGACAGGCATTTCCTTCGTAAGTTCTCACTATCCCTATTATTAAAGAAGTCCAACAACTTACACCCATTAGGGGAGCATCAGTTCGAATCTCATAGGTGTCGCATTACTTTTTTTTCCTCGATTTATTTTTCCCCCAATTTTCTTTTTTTGACTCCTCCGTATAGTCTTTTGGAGCTTTCTTGGCTAGTAGCTTAAGCGTGCGGGGTTAGCCTCTACCTACGGAGTACTATCGCGAGCGGTCAAGGCTGTAGTACGAAGTACGATCAAATCAGCCAAATTTAGCGACTTTAAATCGCTGTACTTCCCTAGGCATTTAGTATTATAAAGCACAGAAACTAAAGAAAGCAATATATTATTTGCCATCTGCACAATTGCCGATTCCATCTCCGTGTTGTTACTGTAAAGATACAGAGAACGATACCGTTCTAAGATAGCTCAGGGAGACCTAGACTAACCCCACTTAAGAAACACTCAAACACGAATTTAAAGCAGAACTCTCAAGTGTTTGTATTATTCTAGCTAGTTACAAAACACTAGCCTTCTATTATCCTGGTACATACCAACGATACAGGGAGAAAATCTATCTGCGCTCTGCGCTCAATGGCAAACGTACATCAGGGGATTCTCCTGAAAACAAACATCCACGAGCGACCAGACCAAATATATCCCGTCAACGCCGTCTAATGCTTAGCCGTGACCTGATCTCCAGTGATCTTCTCAACATAAGTCTTGGCCCTAAATTTAAACGTATTAGTAAATTGCTCTTTCCGCTGGAATATCCCTCAGTCAATAGGAGAGGGAGGAAAGGGTATACTTACATATCACCCATAGCAACCATGCAGATAGTCTGCCAAACGCCCAACCCAATACGAGGAACAACGCCACGATACAAACCCTTAACCCCATTTTGCGAGTAGATGTACTGCAAAGTATTCCCAACGGTCATCTTAGCCGGCCGATTAGGATCTATCGTCTTGCTCTGCATCTCGACGCGGATGACCTCGATAGGCTGATTCCAAGCACTAAGACCACCACCCAAGCCAGAGGCCAGGATCTTTTCCCAAGCGCTCAGCTTCGCTCCCTCCTTCTTACCAGTGACCCTTCTAATGCCCTGCTCGGCCAACCGAGAAAGACCGAAACGCGATCCCCAGTTGGTCATCTGTCTGATGGCCACGGCGTTGACGCCCTTGTTGATGCCCTTGATGCCCTCCTTGCGGTAGATGTCCATGAAGGTTGCGAAGGTACCGGGAGGCTTAACTCCGGCCGCGGCGAGCTTCGACTTGGTCATCTCGACAGTCTTCATGCAGGTGCAGAAGCCCATCGTGGCATAGGCTTGTGCGACACCACCTGTGACACCTCCTGAGATACCGGCGGTGAAGTCACCAGCTCCGAAAGTTCGGGCGTAGTATTCGGCTTCGGATGCCACGAAGAGGAGGACGGCGCCTTTGGTCGAGGCTTCGATCCAGGCCCATGGAATGAGACCCTGGTAGACTGTAATCCGGTGGAGGATATATCAGCTCATGTAATTATCAAGTGCACCGGAGAGCATTTGGTGGACCGGGAAGGACGGAGGGAATATCGAGCTTACAGCCAAGAACTCCACCTCTACCCCAGATTCTCGTCAGGGCGCCTGCAAAGCTATCACCTCGATTGGCAGCCATGGTGGTCTTGATGACCTCCAGCGGCTGCCCCAGCGTGGTGACCTCGAACAAGTTCAAGCCAGCTCCCAAGAGCAGATTGCTGAACTTGACTGGCTTCTTCTCGGGGAGAACATTGGCGACTGGCGCGGCGACGGACATCTTTGTAGGATATTTATGGATTGAGGGCCCTGACCAAGGGATGAGGGTGCTTCTTCGCAAAAAAAAAAAAGGGAGATTGTAGGTTGAAACTTGAAAGAGGGGAGATGGAAGGGATCAAAGAAGTGGGCTGCAGCGGGAAGGGAGATGGATGTTTTGTATTGTACTTTCGAAGTGTCTCCCCTTGTCGGGGACCGACGGTAAGCCCCTAAGTTTATTTTCCGGGTAACTCACACCCTAGGAGCCCCCTAGATCCCCCCTAAGGCTTACGCTTCTCCCTACAAAGGAACGAGCCGAGCGTCCTCCAGGTGCTACAGTGCTACAGCAGCTGCTACAGTGGGAAGTCCTCCGGTAGTCGCACATGTTAACTGGTTTGCACATGTACCAAATAACGCCTCGTAAATGGGGGAGATGCCGAGCTTAAAAGCACACAGCGAAACCCAGTATTACTTATTTAAAACAGGCGATCCGCCAGATGTTCATACTTTCAAGGCTGCGATCCTTTACAAACGCTTTCCATTCATACAATGACGTGCTGCAAGCAACCCGATTCCAGCCGCGCTGGTTTTATTTTTGTTGTTGAGGCTGGCGCTGGCGATTTGGTTGATTGTTGGTCTCGCTTCGGCCCAACGTTGCGCCTCGGGAGCCGGGCCAGAGCTAAGACGTAGCAGACATGCAAGGATAGCTCTGCGCGGACACGGAGCCATCAACAAGATGGGGGTGGATGCGGGCGAAGAGCTAGCGGGTTGATTATCGATTGGAATATGGGGCAATAAGCCATGGCTGAGCACTTCATTAGCCCGAGAAGGCCATAGAGAGTGTCATAAGGACCTGGATTATAAAATAAGGTATAATACGTGGACATTCCTCGACTCTAAAATTCCTAATGTCTCACTCACCAAGACTTACCGTCGAGACCAAAGACCAGAGAGTCCTTGGTATAATGATCATTTTCCACTACAGCACTTCACAACATTGAGTTACTAGGTTTGAGTAGAGTGATGGCCAGGCCATAATAGGATTGAGACAATAAACCAGCCAATTTTTTTTTGGACATGGGAATGATTGCAATGAAGCACGAGAACGCTGAGACTAAAATACAGTGAATAATGCTATTGCTCTAAATCCTATCTATTCCGACCCTTTTCGTACAATGTTCCTAATCCGGCTGGTCAAACGCCCCAGGGTATTTCACACAGCACCATTTTCGTGCTTAGATCTTGGCTCCGACAATCTCCGCCCACTTCTCGGTAGAGAAGGACTTTGGTCGCTCAATAGGAGCGCCAACGGCGCGGTCAATGATCAGTTGGGGGAGGACACCAATGGCTCGGGAGACACCGAAGAGGACAGTGTAGTAGTTGGCCTCGGTAAGACCATAGTATTGGAGGAGGACACCAGAGTGCTATATCAAGTCAGTACATGCTCTTTGTAGAAATGGTGTAGGTGGTACTTACAGCATCAACGTTGGGGTATGGGTTCTAAGGCACATGATCGTCAGCACTCCGAAATGGTAGTTGAAGGGGTTAAGAGTAGAGGAAACTTACCTTGGTCTTTCCGTGCTCGGTGAGGACGCCGGGAGCAATCTTGTAGACCTGGCTGACTAACTTGAACATGGGGTCATCTGGGAGATGTTTCTAGGCAATGTTAGAAATAATATTACTTAGGCTCTGGCAGGACAACATACCTCGGCGAAAGTTCGCTGGGCCATGTAGCGGGGATCAGTCTTGCGGAGAACGGCATGGCCGTAACCAGGGACAACTTGGCCGCCGTTCAACGTAGACCAGAGGTAGTCCTTGATGGCTTGATCACTGAGATCATCGCCAATGGCAGCCTTCATCTTGGTAAGCCAGTTCAAGACTTCCTGGTTGGCAAGACCGTGGAGAGGGCCAGCAAGGCCGTTAAGACCAGCGGCAAGGGACAGCATGGGGGAGCTGAGAGCAGAGCCGACCAAGTGCGTGGTGTGGGCGCTCACATTGCCACCCTCGTGGTCGGTGTGGATGGTAAGGTAAAGTCTCATCAGCTCGACAAAGTCCTTGTTCTCGCCGAAACCAAGCTGGTTGGCAAAGTTGAAACTGTAGTCCTTGTCCTTTTGGACGGGAGCAACCTTTCCGCCCTTGAAGACATTTTGGTAGATGCGTGCGGCGATGGTGGGGAGCTTGGCAATCAAGTCCATCGAGTCCTCGAAAGTGTGGCCCCAGTACTCGTTCTTCTTCATGCCCTTAGCATATGCCTTTGCGAACGACGACTCGTGTTCCAAAGCATTGACTGCGATGGAGAATTGTGCCATCGGGTGGAGATCGGTAGGGCATCGGTCGATGAGCTCCTCAACGAATTTGGGGACGTTGGAGCGTGCAGCCCATTCGGCGGAGAGATCGCGGACTTGTTGCTCGCTTGGGACCTCGCCGGTCAGGAGAAGCCAGAAAAGACCTGCACGAAGTTAATATATAATCCTAAATAGTTTTGGCGAGGTTTGTCCGTACCTTCTGGCAGAGGCTCCTTTCCACCGGGGGCCTTGGGGAGAAGCTCCTGGCATTCTGGAATGGTCTTCCCTCGGAAACGGATACCCTCCTCAGCATCAAGAACTGAGCCCTCCCAGACCAGAGATTTGATACCCCGAGCACCACCATAGACCTGGTCGAGAGTTACTTCGCCGACGACCTTGTGTCCATAGCCCCTGCAGATAAATGTGTCAATCCCCGAACCGCTGCGATGGTACATGTGCTGATTAGGATGGTTTCTTACTTGCGAAGCGCCTTGATCTGCTCAATCTTCTCTGGCAGTTGCTCAGCGAATCTTTCCTTCAGGGTCTGCGAAGGGCGGTTAGCATGACGTTATGCGCGACGGGAGAAGCCAGCTTTACCTGGGTTTTCGCGGAGGAATAGCATCGCAAGCCATTGAAGGCGGCGGTTCTGGAACTGAACGCTGGGGCAGCAAAGGAGGACCTCAATGCCGAAGCACCAAGACGTAGTGAAGAAGCCATTGTACTGAAAGGGGGTGGATTGAGGAACTTGTGTTGAAGGAAAAGATTGGGGACAGGGCGAGGATCGGCGATGCTGGAAAATTATCAAATATGCGCTCGGGCAACGGGAGAGCTCGGGAGTGGACGGAGTCAACAGAAACGGGGGCCGCTGCATCCCTTGTCTGTGTTGTTGGCATCACGTGCGTTGCATCATCATCACAAACCTGAAGGCGCCTTTACAGGCTTCGCAGGACAAAGGATAATAGTATTATATTATTAGGTTATTTATTTATTCTTCCTTGTATACTATATACTATTTATTTCTAGAGGTAGCTAGAAGTTAGAAGCATACCAAATACAACCACCACCCTCGCTTCGTTGCTTTCCAAGTTCTTTTCCCGCTGTCTCTCTGTCCCCAATTCCCTACTTCCCACGTTCCCATCGAACCTCGGGAATACGGCCCCCGGCGCCAGTCACGTGCCGCGTACCACGTGCCTCTGCCGGCCAAGACCTGGCGTGCTGTATTTTGTCCTCCTACTACTCAACTCCTCATTTTCGCCAACCTCCTCTCCGACTTTACATCACCACAACCATCCCCCATCACCATCACAACCACTACAGGCGACTGGAATCGCAGAGTATCGCCCAGCTAATCGAGATCCATCTCTCTCCTAGAGGCGCAACTGCTGCTTGTCACTGCTGCAGACTGTCCCCCCCCATCTGCTGCTCTTGGGCAGAAATTCCCTGTCGATTGCAGGCCCGAAGTGTCCATCGCACACAGTAATCGCGATAGATCTCTTTGTCATCCCCGCCTTCATCGTAGCATCCGTGTTCTAGGACCGTCGCGACGAGTACAGCAGGACATAGAAAGTAGATCCTGGATCTGTCGCCTGGCTCCGTCGCATCACTGCCCGCCAGTTGACTTGTGCTAAAGTGGCCTGTGGTCCTCGTTCGCCATCATGTCGTCCGCAGTAGCAGATCTAGAAGCTGGCCTCCAAGCCATGCTACAGCTCAAGCCCCCAGGAGTATCAGGTTCTCGAATTCAAAGCATCACCGCGCTTTGCATGGCCAATGTACAGGTAAGCACGCGGCACCATCACCGTCCCCGTTCCGGTCATCTTCACAATTTCACTCTCGCCTTTGAGCGAGCGGTTTGAATCAAAGCTAACCCGCGTTCCCAGTCTGAATCGGTCCTCATCCAGAAACTATTTACCCATTTCAAGAAAGCTCCCGCGACACACAAACTTGGCGTACTCTACGTTGTAGACTCTGTAACCCGGAAATGGACAGAACAGGCCAAGATGGCAGGACAACCAATAGACAATTCTGCCCAGGACGGCACTTTCGCCGCTGGTGTTAATAGAGTAAAGGAACTACTGCCGGTGCTGATGAACGACATAATCCCCTCTGCTCCCGAGGATCAAAAGGTACGCTCAAACGCTTTAGCTCTGGACCCTTGACAGCCCCCGTGGCACCTCCACTGCATAATATTTCGCTTCGTATATATATTGTGGCTTTGAGATAGACACGCGTGTCCCCGTTTTTCTGCAACTAAATCCGAACCCCCACTTACTCTTTGTCCGTGTCTTGTAGGAGAAAATCAGAAAGCTAGTTGATATCTGGGAGAAAGGCCAGACCTTCCCTCTCCATATGCTCGCTGAATTCAAAAAGATGTTGATCCCCAGCGCACAAAGTAAGACAAACAGCATTCTTCCCAGCCAATTCTCATTTCATATCTAATTCTGTCGCCGTTTCAATAGATCAGTCTACTACTACTCCTCCTGGAAGTCCACCATCAGATGTTCAGAAGGCCCTTGGGCTTCCATCCACAGCCGCTGCCAACACTCCGTCCATATTAGAGGCGCTTGCCAATCTAGCCCGCCAGAACGCCGCTGCGGCTCTTCCGGCCACGGCCACTCAACCCCAAGCTCAAGCTCAACAGGATAATCCGTACAATATACCAATGCCACATGCGCAGAATAACCCTGCCCAGCATATGGCTGCGATAAACCAGACTGTTCCCTTCCAACCAACTGCAGCTCCAGCACCTGTAAACGTGCCAGCTCCAGCGGCCGCTTATCCATCTCAGTCTCAAGTTCCGAATAGTGGTGCGCAGAACTTTGCCAGTAATCAAGCCAATCCATATGCATACGCGGGTGCCCCGCCAGTAGTTTCGCCTGCTGCACTCGACCCGGCTGTACAGCAGCAATTCGTGTTGATAAAGGCGCTTGCAGACCAGGGCTTCACGCCTGATAAAATTGCGGGTATCATGGCTGCGATGGGTCAAGGAGGTGTTGCTCCGGGAGCAGGCGGAGTGCCTCCTCAAGCTTCGCAATATTTGCCTCAGCATCAGAATCAGATTCAAAATCAAAACACTGCGAATGCACAACCTGGCTGGGGTCCAAGACCAGATGAATCACGTGACCATAACGGCTACCTTGACCGCGAGGCTGGGAGATCACCACCGGGTCGATACCGTCAGCGCTCCCGTTCTCGATCTCCTGCTCGGGGTTGGGGCGCGCGCGATTCTCCAACAGTACAGCGACATGACGATTATGGTTATGACCGCGAGAGGGACTCGCCCGGCCAGGCTCGTGGGGATGACCGTAGTGGCCGTGGTCGAGGAGGCAGGGGCAATGAGTATCGCCAACGTAGCCCTCCACGTCGAGGAGGACGGAGCCCCAGCCCACCACGACACGGATATGGCGGACAGAAATGGGTAAGCCACGATGCGACGCTCAAGAGTGGAACAATTAAAGGTATATTTATAATCTCACTATCCCTATATTTGACATGAAATAGGGCCTTTAGCTAACGAAGTACAGTCCTCAGCCGCACCCTGTTTGTTGGTGGTGTTACGTAAGTTCCTATTGGACTACCCAACTATCAAAGCCTTGCTAACATACCTAGGATGTCGGAGCCTGAACTGAGAAGAATCTTCGAAAAACTTGGTGAAGTCCAGACTTGTATCGTCAACAAGGAGAAGCGCCACGCTTTCGTCAAAATGACTACCCGTGCCGACGCCCTCCACGCTAAAGAGATGATGGAGAAGAACAGAATCCCGGATTCGTCGTTGAGGGTACGTTGTATTATTTGAATTGTGCTTGGCTCTACATTTGCTAATTTCCAATAGACTAGATGGGGTGTAGGCTTCGGACCGCGCGACTGCAGCGACTACCAGACTGGCGTCAGCATCATCCCGATTAGCAAGCTCACTGATGCTGACCGGAAGTGGATGTTAAGCGCAGAATACGGCGGCAGCGGCGGAAAGCCCATTGAGTCTGGCATGGTCGTTGAAGAGCCCGACATCGAGATTGGCGCCGGAGTCTCTTCCAAGGCCATCAGCCGCCGGATGCAAACCGATCGAGGTGGCAGCAACGGCCCAAAATCCAGCCGGGACCGGGATGAGGATGATGGTTCACGTTATCGCCGTGACGATCGCCGTGATGACCGCCGCCATGATGATCGCAAGGGGAGAGATACTGGTGTCAGTGCTCCACCAAGCATGCCCGCCATCCCTCCTTTCCAAATGGCAGGATTCCCATTCAACCTCCCTAGTGGAATGCCCATGATGCCGCCTGGATACACGTATCCTGGTCAAGCTCCAGGCCAGCAGCCACCTGCTCCGGGACATCGCAACTAAAAGACGATAATATAGTTCGCTTTTCTACATCTCTCGATTCTTACAAAACCTACCGGCCTACGTCGACTAGGTTGGCTGGATAACTAAAACTGCATTGTAATATGGTTTGCGCTTCTACATAACTATGGCGTTCTGGCGTTCATGGCCCTAGCATGAATCCTGGGGCTCTTTAAGCATAAGGTGGTGGGCGGTACTACTGGCATGATGAACTGGGTCAAAACTGGGGTGGTGGCTTTGAAAAAAACCCGTGTACTTTGGGTTCGCATAAAACTCAATCGCGATTTATCTTTCTCGGTCCTGCATTCTAACAGCTTGCTAAGTAAATGGATATTGGCCTTGAGCATTACGCTCGGCATTACTGTGTAGTTAAATGAAATCAAGATATCATAAGAATCATCGAGTTCTGACTTATTGACTGCGAGGCGTGAAATCAAAATAATAATAAAGACACCATTACTTACTGCATCCGGATTTTAGTTTCCTAGTAGCTGCTTCAATAGGTGGTTTGTTAGAGACTCGTTTAGAATGGCGCAAAGGTTGAACACTTAAAAGACTTGACATCTTGAAAAGAAGTAACCTCTTATGCCAACCCAACATCCACAAACATTCTCTTGTCTTTTCACAACTTTATCCTAAAATAATAAATTTATACAAGCTAGCTATCAACTTCACAAAAAAATTCTTTTCCCTTCTATTCCCGCAGACCTGCATCTGCAAGCTGCCAACCCCCGTACATGCATATCACTATTGCCGATGCCGATCACACCCGCTCTTTTAAAGCAGCGTAACATGGCGCCGCACGCCAATGTTTTCCTGAATGCCTCAAGAGTGTGGCCTTCCGTTTCTTAAATGCCTGCGAGGGTGCCATGACTTGAAAGCCTCCTTCGTCATAGCTTGTTAGGTCAAGGCAGCTGTGTATCGCTTGAGGCGAGATACTCTTATAGGTCCTGCGTTATTGGAGGCCTTGATGAGGGTATAGAGCATTTAGCAGGTGGTCCTCTTATCAGTAGTTACTCGGTAGATGATGTGGTGCTAGCCACTAGCTTCTAATGATATACACAGCGGCTATGCCGTTACTTCTTCAATCCGTCGCCAAAGTTTCTTATCGGCCACAGACCCTTTGCTCAATTCCGCCATTAATTCCGGCTTCCTTGCAATAGTTTCTTCTCTCGGATGTTAGATGCTAAAAAATGCCTCTTCATCCCATCCGACTAGATCTTCAGAACGATCAGCCTCCCACATCCTTTCAACTACTTAAAATAGAAATAGTAAATCGATTATCTACTTCTTAGTTCCAAGTGAAAGTTTGGAAGGGGTCTTGTGTAGATAATCGTTTTATACATAGCTAAAAAGGCAGTCTCAATCGAAATCCTCGAATTCTCTTTCTACCTTCGTTCTCGCCGTTTCTATCTAGCCCTAAAAAAACTCCTTGGATATTTAGAACTTTAATGGCGATTGGTACGTAGTTGTCAGCTGCTTTTAGCTGGAAAGTGAAATAAACATTGGGTAGACGCCTGAGAAGTTTGTGAAAACTGTTGTCTCTAGACTCTATATTGCCCCGATCGAAACGAAATATTCTGCGAAAACCTCGTGCTCCTCTGTCCGACAATCCAAGAACATCGGGATCCACTGTTGCCGCCAGGTGCCAGCATAGTGGGATGTATAAAGAGCCTTGCAATACTCCCAATAGTCTGGATACCACCCTGCCTGACCCCAATCAACAATTGCTACAATCTGAGGTGGATTTGTTGAGGAAACCATGATATTTCCTCGATGAAGATCGCCATGTGTAAAGGTAATTGCTCCATTATCCGGCAGGAAAGGTCTATAAGGGCACTCATACTTCTGGGTGTCTAGTAGCCGGTTTTGAGGAAGTTGAGAAAACCAGTCATTGAAGTGCTTGATCGTTGCGAATGGTCCGGCCGGCGGTTGATACTCGAATATTATATCTAGTAGAGGCCCTTGATTAATTGATCCTACCGGCCAGTTAATCGGGGCAAGTCGAGTTCTGAAATTCAGTATTGGCTTACCGACGAAGTGTTCAGAAGGGTCTTGTCGTACTTCACGCAATGAATTTACTATTTCACGTAGATGGATACATATAGCTGTTCTCTCTGCGGTAACTAGAGAATCCCACCGGTCCCGTAATGGCTCCCCATAGATAAGTTCCATGTAGATAAAACCATGGCCTGCGTCAACTCGCCACGCATAAACTTCTGGCACAGGAACTTTGATAGAAAGCAAGTGCTTAATAACCCAGAGACATTGAGCTTCCGCCACGGAGACGGAAGGTCCATATTTGACGATGAGACCGAGCTCCTCAAATTTTACAGGAGGGGGTTGAGGATGGTGTATAGGGGCTGGTGACTTGGCTCTGACTTCCTGCGGCGTTGGCAGTTGCTTCTGCCCATGGGTCCTAAAAAAGGAAGACTCGAGAAAAACCATATCCGCTTTGGACCCATCTGGCAATTGTGTAGTTGCGAGTTCAGCGTTGGTTGACATGAATACTTTGGGGCTTTAGTAAGTGGTGGCTCGGAGTGTTCGGATTACTGGCAGGAAAATAATCTGACAGCTGTCCTGGCTGTGTTAAGATATTCAAAACCTTGGTGGTTCTATTCGTCACGATTGATGTTGGTGTTATTGGGTGATCCTTAGGGAAATTTGGAAGGTACAGTATATTGGAGGGATGTTTAGGCAAACACAGGTAATCGTACAGGTACTAAAATAATATTTTTAAGACCTAACAGCTTGGAAAACAATATTATTAACAAAGGTAGAATTAATGTTATCTCAGGTCTGCGGATTGCCCCTCCAAGCTTCCCAGTCGCTGTAGGGAGTATTAGGCAAGAGTTGTGCACGGGCCACTCGTTATTTTCGCGACTACAACGAGCGCGTGCCCCGCGTCCCCCCCGCGTCGTGAGATTTGCACTGTACGCGTCGATATCACACCTTGGCCGATATGCGCTTTCTCCTACCATATCTCAATAGATATTCTCAACCTTATTACTGACAACCCCTTTTTTGGGCTCTGTGGATGACCTGGTAGCAATGGGGTCTTCGGCGTTACACGAGGAACAGCAATACCTCGATCTCGCCCGTGAGATTTTAGACCAAGGTGAAAGACGACCAGACCGGTAAGTTAATATTGATGTTGATATATAACAGGTGCAAATTTCGAGTCTGACACATCTCAGGACAGGCACTGGGACTCTGTCTATCTTTGCACCACGGCCACTCAAATTCCAGCTCAATGACAATGGGCGACCGATCCTCCCTCTTCTTACGACAAAACGTGTTTTCACTCGCGCCATCATCGCCGAGCTACTCTGGTTCATCGAGGGCAACACATCATCTCTCGCGCTTAGCGAGGCCGGGGTGAAGATTTGGGATGGCAATGGATCACGCGAATTCTTGGATAGTAGAGGGTTAACACATCGTGAGGTCGGTGACCTTGGGCCAGTCTATGGCTTTCAATGGCGACATTTTGGCGCCGACTACAAAGATTCGTCAACGGACTATACTGGTCAAGGTGTGGACCAACTAGCCGACATCATACACAAGCTTCGAACGGATCCTTACGACCGCCGAATGATTCTTTCCGCGTGGAACCCCCGGGACTTGCCTATCATGGCGCTGCCACCTTGCCATATGTTTGCTCAGTTCTATGTCTCGTTCCCGGGACAGGGGCTAGAGGGGAGTAGCGAAAGTAAACCGCAAGGGCATCTCCACTGTCAGTTATATCAGCGATCCTGCGATATGGGCCTTGGTGTACCATTCAATATTGCCAGCTATGCTCTCCTTTGCCATATGCTCGCTCACGTCTGTAATCTGGTACCTGGAAGTCTTACGCATGTTATGGGAGATGCGCATATCTATCTTGATCATGTTGATGCTCTTAAAATACAATTAGAACGCGAGCCACGGACATTTCCGGTACTAGAAATCAAGCGCGATAAAGGTGGAAGCATTGACGGTTGGAAGTTGGAGGATTTTGAGATCAAGGGGTATAATCCTCACAAGTCGATTGCTATGAAAATGTCTGTCTAGCGAATAGTGCAGGGCGTCACAAATCTGGCACGTCTTGTGGGCTAAGTGGAATCAGAGCCTGATGTTCTGAGGTGCGATTATTACAATAAATATATCCATTTGCTTGTCACAATCTGCCGTATCTAAATTTGACGCCCACAATGGCTTGATCCACATGATCCAATTCTACAGTGTAGCCAACGTCGGTCATGCCGCCATATTCCACAAAACATTGTCTCATATCAAACATTGAGAATTTGATCAAAGAAGTATTGTTGACCTCAAATTGATTAAGAATAAGCAAACACTGCTGGTCTGCTGGAAGTGCTGCCTCAAGTCCAGCCTTTGCTAGAAATGCTCTGGTGTGCCGCATATCGAAGAAGTTTTTGCACCAGACGAGAATGAATGGTGATTCCTTTTAGACTTCTAATAAGGGGTCGGATATAGCTGTCGGATAAAGGGGGGTGGATTAAATAACAGTTTGCTACGTCGGGTTATGGACTAAATTAAACCAATGCTAGAACTCGATCAGAAGACGACGCTATTAAGGAAACAGTATTTTCACTTCAAAAGAAAGTAGCCAAGATATCGATTTAAGAGTGCCTTGGGTAGCTAGGTAGTTACGGCAACGCTTGGTTGCTACGAGCTCAACTGACCGCCTAGCAAAAGCGGAGTGGCAGTTCTGCCTCGCCTCACCTACGAGTATGACCCTTATATATCAAAATAAGCGGTTTCCCATTAACGAAAAGATCTCCCTCTCCCGTGGCCTACTTGTAGACGAGAGTGATGGTTCTTCGGAAGTCTCAGTCCAGTGACCGATCGGATGGGGGTTAGCCCCACCTGAAATGAGGTTATATCCTGACGCCAGCGACAGCTCGTAACCGGGGCTCCTACCTGTCTGTAAAAGGGGTTTGAGTTACAAAGTACGAGCGAGTCCCTCTGGCTTAGAGCCGCCCTTTCGAGGGTTGAGAATATGGGGTGTCCTAGAGAGGCTGGCATCTTTTTTTGTTTTTCTTTTTGAAATATATTTTTTAAGGATTGCGGCAGAAATAACCGATGGGTTGTGTGACGAAAAAAAGCCCTCTATCAAGGAAAAAGAAAGACTGTGGCAGAAAAAAGGAAAAAGGGCGGTAGTAAGAACTGCCCGATAATTTAAAAGGAGACCGCTCCTGTAACTGGTGCGTACATCACCAAAACGCGAGTCGCCCGATAGAGAGTAACGTAATCAGCGGCAAACTATATGAAGCTGTTCAGGGTCGTGTCGTGGTAGCAGAGGAATTCAAGACAAGACCGAAGTCTACTGCTTGGCTGATTAGGGCTATTGCGTTGACACTGTCGAGGTAAAGGGGTGATTCAAGGTAAAATAAAATGTTCACCACTTGGCTAATAGAGGCATGTCCGATTTGCAGTTCAGCATCTTTCTTCCTGATCATTGGACTGGGAGAGCCCCAACGCTGCTAAACGCCGACGGAAGCACACCCCCGAGACTCCTAGAACCCCCTGAGTATATCTGATGGGTAGCTAAAAGTATCGTGGTGCATCTCCTATCATTTCTTGTAGACCCTCAAGTACGACCACTTGTTCCGCGCCAGGAATGTTAAAGGCTTCCATACTTGGTATATGGTATGTAAGCTGACGTTAAAAAAGGTATCAAGTTCTAATAGAGCTCGAGTTATAAGACAAGGTACTTTATTAGAAAACGTAACGTCAGGGAACAGGATTGGGCTCGAGATATAGCTACCCAGGAATCTAGAGGTACCCCCACCTACCCACTCCGAGAACCTGCTTATAAAACCTACTTACCGTTGCAATCGCTCTTCATATCGTCGGTCAAGCTCAATTTTTCTTGGTTTGTAACATTTCTTCCATTGTATTCATTATACGGAGCATCCTATTTTTGGGCCTTTCTAACAGTTTCTGTCTGTCGTCTGCTAGAGTCTCACAGTAGATCGCTTCATCTCTCGTTAACTGATCAACTGTCAGTTGTTTCAAATTATCACTCATATTATGAAGGCCATTTGTGTACTACTTATAGGAGCGTTCTGTGTAGAGTCTGGGCTCTGGATGAAGGGGAGAAGTTTATATCGAATTCCACAACACCGACATAAAGTTCATTCTGGGCAGCGACCCAGCGTATTGTACAGAGTGCTCGCCGAAAACAAGATAACAACTAGTGTTACAGTTGACAGTGGACTGTGTTATTTTGCAGGTTCCAGTCGCCGAATCTTCACTATGGTATGTTTAAGATTTATTCGCATTCGGATCAGGGCGGCATCTATTCGTCACCAAAGTGCCTGCGTTTGAATATTTTCGTCATTGAACATCCAGCTCATTGGCTCCGCGTTGTTAGTATTGAACAGGGCATCTGACATCTGGTATACTTGTAAGTGACGGGCAACTGTAATGGTAGTTCTTTACATACCAGAAAGTCCCAGCTTTCCATTGCCTCAGGCGATGCGTTCGATGATATTTGGTGGGGACCTTCTACAGGTTCCTCAGCCTGGCCTTGGGCCGCCATTTCTTCAAGTACCGGCAAGCATATTTTTTCAGCATCGTCTACAGCTTTGACTATCAATCCAAAGATCTCATCCTTCCCAAGGCCTCGCATGAGTCCTTCGATCTGTGTAGCAATTATACACGTGATCAAATATCCCTTGATGTTGGTCTCTCCGGCCTTGATACACCGCAGGCACCAAGTTTTCGCATCCTCTAATACGGAAAGCAGATCTGGTCGTAAAGGTACGGGGCCCAGACTTTCCTCCTCCTGCAGTTGCGTCCTAAGTTCTAGTCCTATGAGCAAGGTAGCCTGCGCGGCAACGGTGCGATAGAATCCAGAGCCGCAGACTGTGAGTCGCGCCAAATCGTCCTGATCTGGGGAAGCAGTATCGCTGCGGGGCTGAGCAACCGTGGTGGACGAGGATGGGCACGCTGCATACCAAATTTTGAGTGAAGTCTCGACTACCACCTTCCTGGAAAATGCATAGGCCGTCTCGTGTAATGCCAGGCCGAAAAACGGAACATGAAGGGATGAGCGGTAGCGATGTACTAGGAAATCCACTACGCCTATTTCAAATCGAGAAGGCGAAGGTCCAGTGCTCGAACTACATCCTTGGAGGGTTTGGCATATGGCTTTGTATGACGCCCTTAGCTCTGAATCAAGTCGAAGCGTTTCCTCGTATGTGCCCTGAGAGCGGAAATCGTTTAAGAACTTGGTGATTGCAAGACGGACCGGAAACATCTTACGGAGGGATATTGCGATGGACACTTGAGTGAAGTCGCCTTCTGGCTTTGGCACAGGGCCCTCGGCCATGAGCTGGTCGTCATCGAAATTCCCGGGAGGCTCGGTATCAAAGTCGTCGAGAGATATGAGTGGAGGCCCCCCCGAGGTCAAACTAGATTGTAGCGTTACCTCTAGAATTGTGTTCCATAGCCTTCGGCGCATCTCAGCAGCGAAAGTCGTCCTCTTTGGCAGATGCGCGGGATCCCTATGGAACCCCATATACACTGCCCTTCTGAGTAGCTCGCCGGCCGAAATCCAGATAAACTCTTCACCGACACCTGCTGTTTCTCGAGCAAGCAGAAGTAAGAGATTTATCTGCAGAGGTTGGATGCCTAGTCGTGACTTAAATTTCGGCTCCAAAAGCCAGGTTTGAGCCTCATACACCCATCGAACGGCCGAGACACGCAGGGAGAATTGCTCATCGTAAGTGGAAGCTCCGATGGCGAGCACCAGCTTAAGTTGAATCAAAAATGCCGTATCGGGCTCGGTATCTGACAGCCAGAGGGCTCCATAGTCCCTTTTGAAGGTAGGGACGTGCAGGACTCGATAGACGGTTTCAGTCGTCCGAAGGTAACAGTCGACGAGCTCGTCAGCAACATTTTTAGGGGGCAATTCGGTCGTTATTGGCGAGGGCCACGAAGGTGCCCGCTGCGATTTTATAACCCTTGCTAAAGATTTACACTTTTGTACGCCAGAGCAAGCCTTCATTGACCCGTCTCGTAGATACGGCTCGAATATCTTACAATTGTTAAGCAGCTTACTTTTCCAATACAGCCCGATAGATAGCACAAGGACTTACTAGTACAACTCCATTAAACCAATGGCTTTGGCCAAACATACGTTTCTTATGCGTAACGCTACGAGTGATAGTCGGAGGTTGGCCTAACAAGCGGCTTTCACGATGGATAGAGAAAGTTCCACCCATATCTGACGTTGATGTCTCTATGGTAGTATTCGTAGTCGAAACAGGAGACTGGATAGGCTCTAGTGTCGTTTTAGACAGCTGTTCTTCAAGGTGTTTGATTCTGCTTTTCATAGACTCGAATTCTAGAGGAGATAGTTGACTCGCAAGAGTCGATGCACTTGATGAACTAGCATCTTGCGAGCTTGACGGATGGCCCGCGACTGTCGACCCTCTGCTTGTGCTGGAAGCTCCGTCAACAGGTAGTGATTCTCGGGAACTTTGGGCCAGGCTAAAGCCAGTTGTTTGGCCCTGGCCAAGATGATGCCGCGGAGATTGAGGATGAATCTCATAAACGCAAATATTGTTTCTAGACCGTACGCAATTGCTGCAGGGAGTTTCTCGATTGCATCGGATCTTGCGTCTCCTGCAGAGCGAGCAGGAGCTGTATTCCTCCTAGTGTCAGCAAGAAGACACTGACAGGGGATTCGGACCTACACAGTTGGCCGTCTGCGGCGACGTTCGGGCTCCACCATGGCCCTCCCTCTGTAGCCACCGTTGATTCGTATTTGAGCCGTTCAACACTGCCAAGTACAGATAGTCGGACAACACCTCAGACTATCTCCGACGAGCCTTTTCCTCATGTACGACCTGAGAAATAAAAAAAATCATTAGGGGGGAAGTCAACATAATGTTTGAAGGTAGAAATCTGCGCTCGTGGTCTGTGCTGGTCGCCATTCACCGCATATAATCGCCGAGACCGAGCCGATATCCGTGGCTCCGTAGAATGCGGAATTATCTCCGAGATACCTCATGTCTAACAGTATAGTCAATAGTAAATCTTATATATTGTAATGAATCTTAACACACTGCTAGTTATACACAGTTCCTTAATCGGGCACGCACCGCCCAAGGCTGTGCCGAAATCCCGCCTAAAGAACTTAAGGGTTTGGTCAGTAATCAGCTCAATTGCCGTCAGGCACGATATACGGAGATACACCTGAGACTATGTCCCTCCAGATTCAGACACAACCTCGCACCGATCTCACATAACTCCAATGCTATCCTACCAACGTTCATCCAACCCTCAATTTAAAGCTATCGGTCGAACTGAGATCCTGTGTTTATGAGCGTGTAGACCTTATAATAGCTTACAATTAAAACTTTGCGGGACGTAAGAATCAGTGGTTTCGCGTGGTACAGGATTGTAGAAAATAATAAAGCTACCGAGTTTATTTGTAGGGGAGTTGTATGCTTTATAGATCCAAACATTATTTAAAGGTACTGCTTGATTACTACCGTGACAAAGCTACTGCATATAGGAGTAGCAGGATTGCTTATATCGATTTTCATAGTAATAGAAACTAGAGATATAGACGAAGTATTAACCCAAATAGTATCTATCATCTAGGAGCATTGCAGTACAAAGAAAGTGTACTAGGTAGACGGAAACATAACGTATTAAATTGGAAATATGGTACTATGAGATAGAGATTATATCGAAGTCCGTGGTTAGTCGCCTGTGTGCAGTACGTATCTACCAACAGCGTAGTTTCCAAGTCGATAGGAGCTTCGTGCTCAACTCGCTATCCTCTTCTGCATGACGGAACGGCATCGGTTGATAATTCTCCTAAACCTCGGTGCTTGCCCGGTCAGTAATAGCTGTGCTGTCTTTTCATGCCCATGTAATCTTGCAAGGGAGAGTGGTGTTTGTCCATGATTATTCCTAGCACTTATGTTCGCACCTTTCTCGATCAAAAAGCACACTACCGCCTCCCTCTCGTCCGAGGTCGAGTATGCTGCAAAATGTAGTGGGGTGAACCCAAATCCATCCTTAGCCTCTATGTCACCACCTTTTTTAACAACCAGCTGTACTAGGGCTTGATTTCCAATACTGGCTACACCATGGAGCACTGTTAATAGACTATTATTTTTAGCTTTGACGTTTGCCCCTTTCTCGACCAATAGCTGCACTACCGTCTCATTGGGTGATAAGGTGAATATTGCGTTTAAGAGCGGCGTATATCCGTTCCTGTCTTTAACCTCCATGTTTGCCCGTCTCTCAAGTAAGAGCTGCACGATCATTGCACTTTTGCGGCTTGCTGCAACATGGAGCACAGTCTGCCCACGCGAATCTCTAGACTCGATTTTCGCCCCTTTCTCAAGCAAGAGTTGAATAGCCCCTTCAGATTCTTGCAATGCTGCAAGATGGAGCGCAGTTCCCCCACCCCTATCTGTAGCTTCGATATTTGCCCCGTTCTCGAGCAACGTCCGCACAGTAGTTTCATGATAACTAGTCATTGCACAATGGAGTGGTGTATAGTTGCACCATTCGGTAAGCTCTCTGGCCTCGATATCCGCGCCGTTCTCGAGTAGAAGTTGAACAGGAGCCACTTTTGCACATGTAGCTGCAATGTGCAGGGCAGTGCTCCCATCCCCCTCCCTCGCTTCGATGTTTGCTCCCTTCTCGAGCAATATCCGCATACTCGTTTCATTCTCGACAAAAGTTGCAAGATGGAGCGCTGTATTTCCGCTTCCATCAGTAGCCTCGATATCTGATCTCCTTTCAAGCAACAGCAATATTGTTAACTCATCAGCCCACCGTGAACCTGCTACACAATGAAGAACACTCTTTCGGTGCCAATTTAGAAGTTCAATATTCGCCCCATTCTCAAGCAAGAATTGAGCCATTGCGACCTTCCCGCTCTTTGCTGCATAGAAGAGCGGCGTCTCAGATCTAAAATCCTTGGAGTTGATATCAGCACCCCCAGCAAGTAAATGTCGTACTGTCGCAACTTGTCCACGTTTAGCACCCCAGAATAGAGCCGATCCGTGTCTCCGTTTGATATTTTGAAGATACAAATAGGGATTTAATAGGTTGTGTAAGCGGGTATTTGTTCGACAGAAGGCATTCACATCTCTCCTCGAGGAAATGTACCCCACTATACAAAGCAGTATCTCGTTTGGCAAATCGTTAAGGAGCAGTTGCTGGCATCCATGAATAGAAAAGCTCATCTTGTTGTTTTTGTCAAGGCTGCTCTTAGATCTAGGGAAGTCTATTCTTGTTATTAAAGGAGTGGATAGGTGTTTAGGGTCCGCGGTACGATGTTTGCCTGGGACACTGGTATTTTGCTAGGTACGGTAGTCGAGAAATGACAAGTAATGCAGAAACCCCATCATGGCTGGTCCGTACTTCGTGGATCAAATTTGTGTAAATTCATTTTGCGACGCTCACCCAAGCATGTTGCTTTTAGTGACTCCAGGGAGGTTCTCGAGCTCAATTGAGGTATTAATCTTGAAGCAACGTGAGTTCGATAACTCCCTGTACCAAAGAATCAGCTGGATGAGCACGGATCACCACATTATGATAGACCAGAACAAGGCTAAAAAGTGAATGAGATTGAAGCTTGGCTGAATTTTAAACCGCTCTCGTTTTCATTTTCTTGGGTTTCTTACTAATTAATAATGTACTCTCTACTATTCTTTTGTTTCCGGAAATGTGTTATTGTCGCTGTCCTATATTCGACCATCTTGGTAACGAACATAGAAGTGCTATCGGTCCTGAACTATCATTAGATATGATAAAAACCATAGAAATAATTGAACTGCATGTTCTGAAGCGTTTCCTTGTGGTAAGCAACCATTGGAAATGGCCCTGAACAAGATGGGTGATTAGTTTTTGGAATATTAAGGCATCGTAGAGCGAACCCCAATTCACTCTGCTAAGGAGGTGATAGCATTGCTAGCCTTGTTATATATTCACTACCTGGAGAGTTAATGATACTTCCAAGCCTTGAAACCAAGTATAATTCTTTTTGAGCTCATGTCATATATGATTGAAGCGGTGGTGGTAGCTTAATTGAGGGATTCCAAGTACAATTATAGAGCTGTGCTTGGAAGCATGTCACTATAATAGTATGGCCAGCAAGTCCAAGAATAGTACGGCCATCCAGTGGAGAGTTAAATGCTAGCGGTGAGGTTTCTCATTCTCTCCAGATCTAGAAGAGGGCTATAATTATTTGAAAAACTTATTATGAGGTTCGAAGTTTTACCATAATCACCCCACCCCGTGCACGACAATTCAAATGCCTCAATTCATGCAGAAGCACCCAGGCCATGAGGCATATTATTCGGCGCGGCGACTCAAAGGGCGGTGAAGTTGCAGATACGAAGGAGATTTCCCCAGCTACTTGATCAAGCTTTTATCTTTCGCCGTGGCATCGAGCGACAAGACGATGGAGAGGTTGGGGAAGTCGCGGTTCGCCAAGTTCAAAGTTGGGGTTTGCTTGGATCTGGGCGAGCTGGGCGAGCTGGGCGGCTCTAGACTTTTGATAGAAGCGGTGATTCCGACTCGCTAGGAGTTTTCCTCGACGTGATTGCCTAACTGATAAAAATGGCCAGCAGACCAACAAAAATTTCAGCTGCGAGTTCGAGACACGAGGGTTTTTTACTATGCAGCTATTATTCATGGTCGAAAGCATTTCGCTGGATCTGGAATGCTCTTGGCTGCAATGACGCCTTCGTGATAGGATCGTCCGCCAACGGCGCCAAGAATGGATCGGGGTTCCTGGAGGCCAGCAGTAATGGCTGATTGCGGCTTGACTGCCAATCGCATATTCTGGACACTGCTTTCGCACATGCTATCAAGAATCTAAGATCCCACGGAGAATACAGTATTTGTTTCGCGGGCCGAAAAGTCGGTGATGGCAAACGTAGTATTTGTGCTTGTGTTTTTTATGTTTTTTACTTGTGCTTTACTTGTGCCCGCTCTTTGTTCTTGTGCAGTTTGCATGTGGTACCCGAGTACTTCGTAGGTACCTTTGTGCTTCAGGAGCGGCTCTCCCGAGCTGCCGACGCCTCTGTTGTCATTGCTTTTGCAGATGTCTCATGTTTCGCGATGCCCGATCGATGTGGGGTGTGGGTGGTGGATTGTCATCGACGGCGTCTCCAGGGCAACAAACAAGAAGGATTCGGGATTCGAAAGCATGCCGAAGAATGCCCTGAAGGGAAGCAAAGGGATATCAGTTGGGCCGTTCCAGGTACAAAGTTATCTCTGCTCGCTCGGCACTCTCCTGACGGCTGAAAAAGTGGCCTATCCGTCTCTGTCGCAAGCGCGTCACTCATCAGGCTTTGGTATCTCGCGCCAATCGAGAGATATTTTAGTGGGGGAAATTGCATCATGGGCAGCTACGTAACGGGAATGGAAGGACACAACTAATAGCTCCTCAATTGCCAACTCTCCCACGCGCGCATTGCGTCGCGAGTTGAGTTATTATTCGCATTGTCTCTCATCTCACGATGTGAGCCGCTCGAGCTTGATATGGAGCTGCCAATATACTTTTTGCTATGGCCCCTACGACGGCCATCCATGTCCCAATGTCACCAACTCCACATCACTCCCGAGCCCTCAAGCAAGTCCCATAGCATATGCCGACGGCCATTGGCTATCGCGCAGCTCGGTGCTCTCAGCAGGATGCCCACAAAAGCTTTCAACGTCAAAGCAGCGCTGGCGAAATGCCCCGAACCTAGTTGCCCAGCAGGCATCATTACTCCCGCGCCCACGTACCACGCAAGGAAGATTGCGTCCGGTGCGCGATTTAGCTGATTTAAACAAATCCATGGCGCCGAAATTGACCAGGCTAAGGCGGCTTCGATTGACCCTGGGCAAGTCTCCACTGCTCCAGAGGTCGAAGCTTCAAGCTACAGTATCAAAACAATGAAAAGGCTGCCGTCAGACCTTCGTTACAGTACCTTGCGTTACCCAATTGACATTTTCCAATAACCAGAAAGATATTCTTCTTCCCGTGCCGTGCCGTCTAAAGAATGTTGGTTATACTCCGTATGCAGCGTTGTCGACAGCTAGCTAGCTAAGCTGCTAAAGGATAGGATAGGAACTAGTATGATATGACATAATAGCTGTACGGTTTCAATTGTCTTCCCAACGCGCAGGAGGGAAACCCAATTCCACGCCCAGTCATAGATAGGGCAGAGAAAAAGGTCACTGCAAAATTCTCCTGGTCTCGAAACGAAACAAAATAAGCCAGGATCGGCGGCCGGAGATGGGCTTGTTTCTGATGCTGGGCTGGGAAACATCTGCGGTATATCTTGGATGCCCTGCTTGCGGTGCGGACTGTGCACGGCGGACGCTGCCCAGACCGCAGGCGGAGATACGGAGTAGCCGTGGGGAGGGTGTGCGTGTAGTGCAACACTGGGTGCAGGCGGGATAAGGTGACAGACAGCAAGCAGCAAGGAAAAGCTACCGACCGGGTCCACGAACCTACGAATCGCGAGATTTTTATTGGGGACGATGAGAGTGAACGCTGTAAGCATTGGGCGAGAGCGCAACAATAACAGCATCAATGATAATAATGAGAATGATACGAAGTCTGTCTTGATGTGTCTTCACCAATTGATACAGCGGAACTCCTACGCAGCAGATGTGGAGGGCACAACAGCCCCGGTACCTACACCTTGGTGGACGAAGAGGTACCGCTTGAAGTGCTACATTCCTTACCCTAGGTATTTACCCTACCGGCAATAGCCAGCAGTTCGCGGCTCAAGAGCTACGCTGATACTGTTTCACAGTGAGCTTGAGAGGTCCATGTACATGTACCTTCAAAATGCTATACGCGGGGACTTGCCACGTAAAATACCTAATACGGAGTACGTGCGAAGTAGAGATGACGGTCTGCTTCGTACGGACTGGGTGCCCAGGAAGAGCAAGCCAACTACGTAGTATGTACTACCTGCCAAAGAGAGGCATGAATATGAATACGGGCATTTATTGGGGCTACGACTCTGTACTCTCGCCATCGGGCTGCTAGTGTATTGCCCAGACTCTCCGAAGGTAGGTATCTCCTGTAGCTAGCACGTAGCACCTGGTAGCTAGTACCCAGCATCTCCAGGATCAGCTTCGTGCTACTCTACCGCCTTCAACCAGAGCGTTCGCTTATCACCGTCCACCCACAGCGCGCCGCCGTTTAGACTGTGAAGCTGATCGTTAAGCCGCTAACCGGGCACTACAGCAGTGTTCTCCACTACCACCACGCCCTATCCTCCACCCGCCCACACCCTCTCTCACCCCCCCCCCCACACCCATCCCGGCGCAATCATAACAAACAAAGCCCAGTAGCCCTTCCCAATTGCGTCCAGTCCAGTGTCCAGTGCCCAGTCCGTCCCCCCGTGTCCATTCACTGGTTTGCCCTTTGCCTTGCCCAGGTGCACAAAGAGGAAAGTGCAGAGTGGGCACACCCAGCATTCAAATACCCCCATCCCGCCCAGAGCTTCCAGAGCTCTTTCCCTCTCGCTCATCGACACCTTTCCCCACTGTCGACGACCTTTCTTCTCCCCCTTCTCTCCCCTCTCCCTCGTCGCGCGATTGAACATCTCAATTGCTCTTCGTGGTCCATTCTGCCCCCCCTCCCACCGTCTTTTCTTCGTTGAATTGAAATCTATTGTGGCATCGCGAGCATCAAAACCTGACTCCCAGTTATTTTCTTCCCTCCCCAGGAGGCGTCAGACACAATGGCGGACACTACTCCTGCTCCCCACGGCGCGTCGGGCACGTATTCTAGCAACACCTCTTCAGACAACCCTAACCACCTGAACACCAACATTGAGTCGGGCACCTTCGACGAGAAGACCGCGCACCATGATGCCGCCGCCCCGCCCACGACGACCAAGAAGCCGCTCGAGGATGAGGAAGAGGACGAGGACATGGACGCCCTGATCGACGAGCTCGAGTCCCAGGATGGCCATCTAGAGGAAGAGGAGGGCGAGGTCGAGGCAGCTCCAGGAGCTGGACGCGTCGTCCCCGAGGACCAGCTCCAGACCGACACCCGCATTGGTCTTACAGAGTCCGAGGTCCACGCCCGCCGCAAGAAGTACGGCATGAATCAGATGAAGGAGGAGAAGGAGAACCTGATCCTGAAGTTCCTCGGATACTTCATTGGCCCTATTCAATTCGTTATGGAGGTACGTTGGCGCGTGTTTCTTCTACTCGATTTCTCCCCAGCCCGTTTGGCGCAAACAGAGCCAGAGCCAGAGCGAGCAGTGCGTGCTGCTGTCTCCCAAGACCAAGCTCTCTCTGGCCCTGCAAGTTGCTTCCCTGCTTGTTATTTCTTGTTTATTTGTCGGCCATTCCGCCCGTTTTCGCCGCTTCTGGTTTTTTCCCTGTCCCAGCACCCGAGGAATTCCCGAAATTTCGGCCTGGGATGCGAGGCGCCAACGCGCGCAATACGAACGAGTACGTCGATCAGGAGAGAAGACGATCCGTGCTAACAATCTGCGCTCCGATAGGCTGCCGCCGTGCTCGCCGCCGGTCTCGAAGATTGGGTCGATTTTGGTGTCATTTGCGCCCTGCTGCTGCTTAACGCCGCCGTCGGTTTTATCCAAGAATTCCAAGCTGGTTCCATTGTCGACGAATTGAAGAAGACTCTCGCCCTCAAGGCCGTCGTTCTCCGTGACGGCCGTCTTTTCGAGGTCGAGGCGCCTGAGGTCGTGCCTGGAGATATCCTCCAGATCGAAGAGGTAAGATTAGCCCCGGAAACTAAAAAACAGCTCCCCCTGCGAAGTAATGCGGTCCTAACACAATATTCGCGCAGGGCACTATCATTCCCGCTGATGGCCGCATTGTCACCGACGATGCTTTCCTCCAAGTCGATCAATCTGCCATTACTGGTGAATCTCTCGCGGTCGACAAGCACAAGGGTGATCAATGTTTCGCCTCCTCGGGTGTTAAGCGTGGTGAGGCCTTTATGGTCATTACTGCCACTGGTGATAACACCTTCGTCGGCCGTGCCGCCGCTCTCGTCAACCAGGCTTCCAGCGGTACCGGTCATTTCACTGAGGTGTTGAACGGTATCGGTACGGTGCTCTTGATCTTGGTCATCTTCACCCTCTTGATCGTCTGGGTTTCGTCCTTCTATCGCTCTAATGGAATCGTCACGATCCTCGAATACACTCTTGCCATCACCATTATTGGTGTCCCCGTCGGTCTCCCCGCTGTCGTTACTACCACCATGGCAGTTGGTGCCGCTTATCTCGCCAAGAAGAAGGCTATCGTCCAGAAGCTCTCTGCCATTGAGTCCCTTGCTGGTGTCGAAATCCTCTGCTCTGACAAGACCGGTACATTGACCAAGAACAAGCTCTCGCTCGCTGAGCCCTTCACTGTTCCCGGTGTCGAGCCCGATGACCTCATGTTGACTGCCTGTCTCGCTGCTTCCCGCAAGAAGAAGGGTATTGATGCTATTGACAAGGCTTTCTTGAAGGCACTCCGATACTACCCCCGTGCCAAGTCCGTTCTGTCCAAGTACAAGGTCATTGAATTCCATCCTTTCGATCCCGTCTCCAAGAAGGTTCAAGCTGTCGTCGAATCCCCGCAAGGAGAGCGCATTATCTGCGTCAAGGGTGCACCGCTTTTCGTTTTGAAGACTGTCGAGGAAGACCACCCTATCCCTGACGAGATTGACCAAGCCTACAAGAACAAGGTCGCAGAATTCGCTACTCGTGGTTTCCGTTCTCTCGGTGTTGCCCGCAAGCGTGGTGAAGGCCAATGGGAAATCCTCGGTATTATGCCGTGCTCTGATCCTCCTCGTCACGACACTGCCCGTACTATCAACGAAGCCAAGACTCTCGGTTTGTCAATCAAGATGTTGACTGGTGATGCTGTCGGTATCGCTCGTGAGACTTCCCGCCAACTCGGTCTTGGTACCAACGTCTACAACGCTGAACGTCTCGGTCTCGGTGGCGGTGGTGATATGCCAGGTTCCGAGGTCTATGATTTCGTCGAGGCTGCTGATGGATTCGCTGAGGTTTTCCCCCAACACAAGTACAATGTCGTCGAGATTCTCCAACAGCGTGGTTACCTCGTTGCCATGACTGGTGACGGTGTCAACGATGCCCCATCCTTGAAGAAGGCTGATACTGGTATTGCTGTCGAGGGTGCATCTGATGCTGCTCGTTCCGCCGCTGATATCGTCTTCTTGGCCCCCGGTCTCGGTGCTATCATCGATGCTCTTAAGACTTCCCGCCAGATTTTCCATCGTATGTACGCCTACGTTGTCTACCGTATTGCCCTGTCGCTCCATTTGGAAATCTTCCTTGGTCTTTGGATCGCCATCTTGAACAGATCTCTCAACATCGAATTGGTTGTATTCATCGCCATTTTCGCTGATGTTGCCACCTTGGCCATCGCTTACGACAATGCTCCATTCTCCAAGACCCCAGTCAAGTGGAACCTTCCCAAGCTGTGGGGTATGTCCATCCTTCTCGGTATTGTCCTTGCCATCGGTACCTGGATCACCCTTACTACTATGATTGCTCGTGGTGAGAATGGCGGTATTGTCCAAAACTTCGGTGTCCTCGATCCGGTCGTCTTCCTGGAGATTTCGCTCACTGAGAACTGGCTTATTTTCATTACTCGTGCTAACGGTCCTTTCTGGTCCTCCATCCCCTCGTGGCAACTGGCTGGTGCTATCTTGATTGTCGATATTATCGCAACCTTCTTCACCCTCTTCGGTTGGTTCGTTGGTGGCCAAACCTCCATTGTCGCCGTCGTCCGTATTTGGGTCTTCTCATTCGGTGTCTTCTGCATCATGGGAGGTGTCTACTATCTCCTCCAGGACAGCACTGGATTCGACAACCTCATGCATGGAAAGTCACCTAAGAAGAACCAGAAGCAACGATCACTAGAAGATTTTGGTAAGTCGTGCTGCGCAATCCCCCTTGTTTCAGTCCAAGTACTAATTTGTTTCATAGTTGTCTCGCTTCAACGTGTGTCCACTCAACACGAGAAGTCGGCATAAAAGTTTATCCCTCGAAACAGAGCCGCATCACGCATTGTTGATGTGTGCCTCGGGGCGGAGGAGTTCTTCTTTGTGTTTAATACCATTGCATACCTTGCATTGTACAGTCATCCAGACGGGCGATCGCGGGTGTTCTAGACATGTTATTTCGTGAGCATGTATCTATCTACTGCTCTCTAGACTGTCTACTGGGCCTTGGGTGGTTTTTGAAGGGCGTGGGCGGAGTCATACCCCAGATACAAATGTTTCCTTAGATTCTTAATAGTAAAAACTAAAACTACATGGCCTCCCGGCCTCCATAGAGAATGGTACTTGCATATGTGAAATTTGTGGGAAGTCTTTTGGTAGTAGATAACCTGGTCCTTCAAGACCGAGTAGAGTTAAGTTTGCCACTGTTAAGCTTCCTTCCACCACTTTCCTCGTGGCAGCCTTGCAATAACACGTGTATTCACAAGTCACATCTCAACTCCGGTCGGATATTTTACTTAGCAATCATAGGGGTATTTAATCTTAAACGCATTAAACCCTAACCTTTTAGGATGCGGTGGAAACTCGTCAATCTAAAAGCCAACTGCGGCTTGGCCACTCGGGGAGGACTCCCAAATGGAAACGTGGGACGCGGGGGAACAATGGAATCCGAAGCCTTATCTTTGAGATCCCGCCAGCTACTGTAGCGAAAGGCGGAGTCCCCTCATCGCTGATGTCCTGTCATACCGAAGAAGCGCAATGCGGGGGAATAATAATAATAAACCGGGCCGCGGTAAATACCTCTACTGTTTTTCCCGGGACTATGGTTATGCATACCTTATCTGCATAGCGGGTTAGGTAGTATCATGACTCGGGGAAGCATATACGAATTTTCCCACGCATCGCAAATGTTGACGATAAATTTATATCTATACAGAGTATATATCCCTTTTCCTCCTTATTCTCCTCCGCCCTCGGTGTTCTTCCAAAGTTCCAACAACTTCCCTAATTGGGCCGATATTCCGACGCCATGGAATTGGTTTGCATCAATCAACACAAAAACTGGCGCCGGAGGATGGATATTCCTTGCGGGCGCTGTGCTGTGCCTCGGCCTGCTTTTTAGCTCGGGAGTGTTGTCGCTCACCCACATGCAAAGCTAATTCGGAACCACGAGTCTGCATTCCTCACCGAGCATAACCAACCCCAGGTTTCCTCTCCTTCAGTCTTCTTTCGCAGAGCGGCCACTGTCCAGATAAAAACATCCCAAATACCACATTTCCTCGTACTTTTGTTCGCATCGCAGAGCGTTGGTTGAGAGAACTACTAGCTTGCATTGTCAGTTGCTATAGACAGAGATAGAGATAGAGGTACGTGTAGAAAATTATCCTCCTCGCCCCTCGGCTTCCCCATACCCCATACCGTATGCTAACGCCCTGGTTGCTCCAGACGCTCCTTTGCTTGTCCATACTGATCCGATAATATCTGTACGACCATGGCTCCCACTCAACATGACCCAAATGCCTACATAAAGGCGTTGAGAGCACCTCCACCGCCGGGCTCACCGTACTCCCTCCCCATCCCGGGCAGTGAGCGCGAAGGTCGAAGCCCAGTGTACCGCCATTTCCGCTGCATCAACTCGCCGCTGATCTCGACCATCCATCCGGATATTCGCACCGCCCACGACTCCTTTGAATACTCGCTGAAGAAGAAGCCAAACGCGAGATGTCTGGGGTCCCGGCCTTACGACGCAGCCACGAAGAGCTTTGGCAAGTATGAATGGATGTCATATGCGGAAGTCGGAGTGCGGCGAAAGAACTTCGGCGCTGGTCTGGTCGAGTTGCACAAGAAGGCTGGTATCACGGATGAGAAATACGGTGTTGGCCTGTGGTGCCAGAACAGGCCGGAATGGCAGATCACTGGTGAGTCTCAGCTGTCCTCGGGGTGTTAGATTGAATTACGAGCTGATGGTATTTTAGACCTCGGATGCATGTCTCAGTCGCTGTATTCGGTTTCCATCTACGACACTCTCGGCCCCGACACCACCGAATACATTATCAACCATGCCTCCCTAGCCTGCGTTGTCACAAGTCTCGTCCACGTTCCAGCCCTGCTCAAGCTGGCCCCGCGGATCCCAACTTTAAAGCTCATTGTGTGTATGGATCCTCTTGATGCTGGAGAACAACCGGGATATTCCAAGAAAGACCTTTTGAACTCCCTTGCCGCGGATGCGGGCATCGCCATCCATTATTTGCAAGATGTTGAGGCCCTTGGTGCTGCTTCCGGACGGCCAATGAAGGCTCCGGCCGCTGACGATATCATTACGATTAACTATACGTCAGGTACGACCGGCAATCCCAAGGGAGTGGTTTTAAAGCATGCAAATGCCGTCGCCGCTATTACTGTTTCTCGGATGGTATCAGATACAGACCCGTCTGATGTTGTTATCTCGTATCTTCCGTTGGCACATATTTACCAGAGAGTCACGGAGCATAATGCTCTTTCTGCAAACGCCTCGATTGGATACTTCCGTGGCGACATTTTGGGACTCGTGGACGATATGAAGCTGCTCCAACCCACTGGATTTAACTCCGTTCCCAGACTATTTAACCGGTTCGGCTCAGCTATTCGTGCTGCAACAATTGATGCGCCAGGCATGAAGGGAACCATCGGCCGACATGTGATCAATGCCAAGTTAGCGTCGATGAAGCTTCCTCCTGGACAAGCAACCAACAAGCACATGCTTTATGATCGCTTCTTCACCCCCAAGATCAGGGCTGCCGTGGGGTTGACACGTGCCCGTGGTATGGTCACTGGAAGTGCACCTCTGGACCCTACATTACATCAATTCCTTCGAGCAGCTTTCGGCAATGATTTCATCCAGGGCTTCGGCATGACAGAGTCATATGCCGTCGGGCTTGCGCAGCATCACACTGACTACTCAGCTGGAAACTGTGGTGGGCTCGCAGTGGCATTCGAAGCATGCTTGCAATCCGTGCCAGATATGGACTACCTCGTCACAGACAGCCCAAATCCAAGAGGTCAATTGATGCTCAAGGGCAAGTCACTCTTCGAGGAGTATTACAAGAATGAGGTGGAAACCAAGAAGGCATTCACGGAAGACGGCTGGTTCCAAACCGGCGACATCGTCGAAATCGACTCCATGGGTCGCTTCACGATCATCGACCGCGTTAAGAACGTCCTGAAGCTCGCCCAGGGAGAGTACATCTCCCCCGAGCGAATCGAGAACGTCTACCTCGCCAACAGCAACCTCCTCACACAAGGCTACGTGCACGGCGACTCCACCCAAGCATTCCTCGTTTCCGTCTGGGGCGTTGATCCGGTCACATTCGCACCATTCGCCAGCCGCGTGCTAAAACAGAATATCGACCCCACGGATCTCGAAGCCATCAAGCTCGCTGGGAAAGATATCCGTGTCCGAAAAGCCCTGCTCAGCGACATGGATAAGATTGCGAAGAAGAATAAGTTTAACAGCTACGAGCGCGTTCGCAACGTGTATCTTGACATTGAGCCATTTACCATTGAGAACCAGCTTTTGACCCCTACGTAAGTTTCCCCCCTAACCATCTCCCGGGCTCGGATCATCTGTACTAATGTAATATCTTACAGCCTGAAACTCAAACGCCCGCAGACAGCAAAGAAATTCAGACAGGAGCTTGATATTATGTATGAGGAATCCCTTGCGGAGGATTCTATGAAGGCGAAATTGTAAATACATATGTGCATGTTGTTTGTACTGCCGTATCCGACAGATTGTATAGATCACCATCATGTCCTTAGCTTGTTTTTGTTTAATTAAAATAGACTAACAGAGTACCTACCTTTTTATGTACATTTATTCGCCTTGCATGCTTGTGTGTGTGAGTGACTTAAGAGGTTCACTAAAAGTACCATAATTTGTTGAACATTCGAATTTTAGATTTCTACAGTTTGAGAAATTCACACAAGATGCCTGTCATTAGATACGATTTTAGAGGATTCATACGTCGTGAATTGGGATATAGCACGCAAAAAGTACCTATCAAAGGCCCCCCCAGAAAACGCTATGCCTATGTGCTAACCTTACAGCCCCCCCAAACAGCGGGATGGAATTTCTCCTATCCCACACTCCTACAAATTCCCCCGTTCCTCCTGCTCCCTCTCAATAGCCTCAAACAGGCTCTTAAAATTACCAGCTCCAAACCCATCAAATTCATTCCGTTGAATAATCTCAATAAACACCGTCGGGCGATCCATCAGCGGTTTCGTGAACAGCTGCAGCAGGTATCCACCCTCGTCAAAATCAATCAGGATATTGAGTTTCTGAATCGTATCGAAATCCTCTTGGAGCGCCCAGCTCCGCTTATCGGTCTTGAGACGCTGCCGCATCGTGGTATAGTACGTCTCGGGGACGCTTATGAATTCCACGCCCCGCGCGCGCATGTTGGACACTGCGGAGATGATATCGTTTGTCCGTAGCGCTATGTGCTGCACGCCGGCACCGCCGTAGAATTCTACGTACTCCTCGATTTGGCTCTTTTTCTTGCCGGGGGCGGGTTCGTTGATGGGCATTTTGACGACGTTGTTGGGGGATGCCATGACGATGGAGTTTAGGGCGGAGAATTCGGTGGATATTTGGGAGTCGTCGACGGACCAGAAGCGGTGGAAGGAGAGGCATTTTTCATAGTAGGCGCAGGCTTCTTCCATGGCGCCCCAGTCTTGGTTGCCGACGCAGTGGTCGATTGCGGAGAGGGTGACGGTGGGGAGGAGTTGTTGGAGGGGGTCGACTTTTGAGGCGGGGATGGCCTTGTATCCAGGGAGGAAGACGCCGTCGTATGAGTAGCGGGAGATCAGGGTGTGGGTTGTATCGCCGTATGTTTTGATAATGGCTGTTGAGACCGACCCGTAATTGTTCTTGTCTAAGGCTCTGCGGGGAGGTTGGACTGAGACGGCGCCTTGCTCGACTGCATTCCGATATACGGCTTCCACATCGTCGACTTCAAAGGCCACGTCTTTGACTGCATCTCCGTGTTTCTCCAGATGCTCATATATCTCTTTTAGAAGCGTCCGCTCTTCAGGAGTGATCTGCTCGTCGTCGTCGGCGAGACATGAGTATGATTTAATGGGAGACGTAAGGACAAATCTGATATCGCCGTTTGCTACGACATGAGAGGCAATGTATCGGCTTCCGGTCTCGAGGCCTTTGTACGCGATGGTATAGAAGCCGAGACGGGTGGTGTAGTAGGAGGCAGCTTGCTTGGCGTTCCCTACGTACCAGGTAATGTGATCGTAACCGTGGAAATTGGGCGTATCACCAACAGCTCCGGATGTGTGGTTGGAGGTCGGGAAGGTAAGAGATGTGGGAGTTAAGACTGGTGGTGTGATAGCTGAAGGCGCCATGATAGATGTGATGGAGAGGCAAGAAAAGTCAAGTAGGGTCTTGTATCAGACAAGAATGCCTTTGTCTTCTCTTCCCAGCTAGAAGTAGGAGTTTATTCAGGACCTTGCCCGGCTGGTGAATGCTGGGGAATAGGAATCGAATGACAGATAGATAGACGCTGTATACAAAGAATAGAAGAGGACTGAGTACCGCTACCTACGACTGCGGTTGTGGCTGTCTTATATGACATGGCGTAGCATTTCGGCTTAACTCTGGCGATTAGATAAATCCGCACTTGCTTGTTTTGCTAATCAGAGAGTTGCATAGGTCCCTTACCATACCTAGGCAGTCTAATAGTTACCTCGCATGTCGTACACCTCTTGCCTCTTGGGTGGCAGAGTTGCGTTTGGAGTGGATGTCAGAATTGCCTGTTCGGGCTAGCGTGCTGGGAAGGGCGGAATTTGGAGGTGTCGCTTAGGTTCGGCTTGAAGCGGCCTTCTGACCTCACTGCCAAACCAGCTATCTCGCCGTCTCCCACTTCCTCCACTGTCCAACGTCCAACGTCCAACATCAACCATCTGACGGTGGTGGTGGGTGATGGTAGTACTACGTAAAGGTAGGTAATTAGTAAGTCCTTGGAACTCTAACACGGTAGGAAGTTGACTTCAATATCAATCGGTAACGGGTTACCCTCTTTACTATCTATCATTGTCCATATCAGCATCTCCTGTATCATTTTGTCATCTCTCTCTCCCTTCGTCTTATTCTCACTCCTCATCCCTTCCGACTAAGAAGAAAGCCTGAGCTTCAAGTTGCTGCCACAAGTTCGGATCGTCATTATTCACAGAGACAAGAAATCCTGACACCTGGATCCATTCATACATACCGTACCACAAACACCCTCAATATGTCACCATCTCTTACCCATCACGATCTCTTCGTCCTCGAAAAGATGAAAGATCCCGAAGCAAGTTCTTCAGCATCAGCGCCCCTCATGATCGACTCTTCCCTCCCAAAAGATCCCCACGTCGCAGACTCCTCCCTTTATCAAACCGTCAGCACTCGCGAACTTGTCATAATATCCTCCATCCAAGCCGTGGAGCTCCAGATAGCTGGCCTCAAACCCGCCGTATCTCAGCCACAACCAACGTCGGCTCTCGCCCAATATGAATCCAGTCTCAAGAACCTCGGCGAGCTAATACGCGAATATCCCAACTACGCCAGCGCCCGCAATAATCGAGCACAAGCTCTACGAAGGGTTTACGGCGACGGGATACTCGTCAAGTCTCCAGATTCCAATCCTACAAGCTCGCTCAGAAAAGACGAAGCACCGCCCCTCGATACCACAGCATCAGATACAGCCTTCCTGTCCATCTCGTCAACCCTCCTCGCTGACCTCGATGCCGCGATTTCCCTCCTTGCACCTCCCACGCCCTACACACCCCTCTCCCCACGCGCCGCAAGAACCCTCTCCCAGGCATACACACAACGTGGAGCGCTATACCACCTGACTGCCAAACGACTAAGCGTGAAAGCAGCAGAGTTACGGATAGACCAGGGTAGGAGGGAGGCAGGGTGGAGTGCGACGGAGTTTGCTGAGCAGGCGTCGAGGGATTTTATGTGGGGTGGGCGATATGGGAATGAGGTTGCGAAGGCGTTGGCGGTTAGTGCAAATCCGACGGCGAAGCTGTGCGGGGACATGGTCAGGGAGGCCATGCTGAGGGAGTATAATGGCGCTAGTGCTAAAGATGGGGAAACGGCTTGAATTTCAGTAGCTTGGGTAGATGTTGGTAGTAAAGAATATGAGTGTATAATATCAAGCTACATAAGATGTGATCTGCCTTCTACCATCTATCTGTTCCTCGTCCTCGCGTCGTCTGACTTCTAATAAGTGCTTTGGCTCAGAATGAATGTAAGTAGCCCAAATAATATTAGAAATGTAGTAACAGCGAGACAAGAATCCTAGTAGGATCTACTTGCTGATTTGATTTTAATAGGGAGAATATCTGAAAGGTTATGTTGGAGCACACTCCAGTTGTACCGTGACAAGCGCGTGCATATATCACATATGTGGCGTGTTATTATGTATACCACTCGCATTCGTACACTAGTACGAAGTCCGACGTATCCGTATCTCTCCAGACCAACAACAACGCAGTTCATAACGAAGAAACAGCCTCTCACCGCCCGGATTTCCCAGATTGCAAGCATCGCCGACTCTAAAAGGCTTGATCCTATCGCGGACCTGTGAAAGCGTGCTTCCAACCGGTGTCTGTGGAGTGGAGGGCGACGCGGCTCAATCGCGTTCGATTGGAACTGCAGCAATTTGCAGCAATTTGTCAAGCGCGAGGACTTGAGCTTGGACGACGAAGCCTCGAGACAAGTCCACCCGCCGGAATTCAGGATGAAGCCAGCATCACGCAAGCCGCATAGAAAGACAAGAACGGGCTGCCGGACTTGCAAACAGAGAAAGATCAAGGTATGTCCTTTTCCTATTCTGCGTCATCATCTGAGAGTTGAAATCGTGAAGCGAAGTCGTGTCATGTGACCCCCACCCCCCGAGAATAACATCAACATCTCCCCCCTATCCAATCCCAATCAGTACGATTTAACATGAGTCTTCCTGATTGATCGTCCTTGGTACCCAATTCTAACTTTTGCTTCAAACATAAGTGCGATGAAAAACGCCCGTCGTGTACCAACTGCTTGAAGCATTCTGTTGCATGCGACTTCTTCCTGTCGCCAGCAAATCTATCACCAGGTTCAAGTGTTGCGAGTCCCGCAAACTCCCTACCACAATATGTCAGCACACCATCAGGCTCAGTCGGTACACCCGCATCGCATGCTCCTGGACTGCCGCTTCCAAGCTTTAGTCGAAATCTAAATCTTCCGTCGGTGCGGCACGAGCCAGTAGGTCTGAACATGATAGATCTAGAGCTCCTCCACAACTTCTCCGTATCGACATGCCTTACCTTACATAATGACCCGGCTCTTAAGACGCTATGGAAGGTAAATGTGCCCCAGCTTGGAATCTCGAATGACTTCGTTATGCGTGGCATCCTCGCCGTTTCTGCTCTACACATGGCCCATTTCCTACCCGAAAAGCGGGAGTTTTATCTCTCACAAGCCTTCAACCAACACCAGAGCGGCCTCCGGACCGCAACATCGATCCTACCCAACGTCACCGAGGAGAATTGCTCGGCCCTATATGTATTCTCGGCCTTGACTTTATTCTTCTCGCTGGCCGGTCCGCGGGATTCGGATCAATTGCTGGGATCGGCGGGCGACACGGGGATATCGGATTGGCTAAGCCTACTGCAAGGAGCCCATTCCATCCTCACCACGGCTCTCGATGCGCTCGTCAAAGGCCCCCTAGGGCCGATGTTCGAAGCCGGCCGTCGGCGGGACGCCATGAGAGAAAACTACGCACTTGCGTTCCCGCCCGAGCAAGACCCGCTACAAGAGCTTCGCCACTTTCTCAACAGCTCCGGTGTTGACGAGCGGACATTTCACACATGCCACGCCGCCATCGAAGAGCTACGCAAGTCCTTCGCTGCCATCTATAAGCAGGGTTCCCAGGATCGCGAGCCTTCCGACATCTTCATCTGGCTTTTCCGGGTTCACGGAGAGTTCCTTGGTCTGGTGCGTGGCCATTCGCAGGAAGCTCTGGCGATCTTTGGGCACTTCTGTGTGTTGTTGAAGTTGATGGATTATCGCTGGTGGATGGAGGGGAGTGCTTTGCAACTCTTGTCGAAAGTGTACGAGCTGCTTGATGAAGACCATCGGTTGTGGATTCGATGGCCGATTGAGGAGGTTGGCTGGGTTCCGAGTCAGGAAAAACATAAGGTTCCTGCTCATAATGGAGCGCCTTTCCCTTACCAGGGCCAATGAATCGGGTGCCATTTTAGACTACGAGACTGGGTTTTGGACACTTAGAGGCATAAACGTCTAGCGACTTTCTAGATCAAGGGAATTCTATTCCTAAACCACCAACTTTTCATAAAGCCGCCCATTCTAGGCTAGTACTCGCTATCAAAGCACTGTATCACCAACCGCACATCTACACCGTCGGGGCCTATCTTCTCTAGCTCCCCAACTGCTGTTTAAATCCCCATATGTCGGTGAAGAATCCACCAAACGGAGCTTACTAGACAGAAGGGGATCTAAGTCAGCTATTGGGTACCATAATGTATAGTACAAGCACAACAGCGCTTTCCTCGACCACATGCGAATCTGTCACATCGTCTCTATATGCATTCATAGCGGTCCTAGGAAGGTAGCATCGGGCTCGGAACCATAAATAGAAATAGTATTGTACGGAATAAACAAATATATGTCATAGTATCGAAATCTCAGGCTTAAATCTATCAAACTTGAGATCACCCCACATCTACATTATACCGAATGATTTGCTGCCCATCTGGCTGTACGAGTAACTTACCCCTCATTTTTATCTATAAGGCAGCAAATTACTTTTAACCAGTCAATAGGTAGCACAATAATTGCCTCACTTTAGGCTCTCGAATGCATGACCCTCGTCTTGACTCTATGATTTACTCAGTACAGAACTAAGACGTCAAGGATCCTAGTAATGTGTAATAAGTAGCTAGCTGGAGTGCTATCTTGCTAGTATGTTTAGAAATGTGGCGGAGTTTATAATCTACGAGTAGATAGCTGATTTTGCTACTGATTATAATAGGGGGTGTTTATATGGGCTGAAACGTAAAAGGGGTGCGAGGTTTGATGCATAGTGAGCTGCGGTGGATGGGGTGTAAGTTGGGATAGGATAGGATAGGATAGAATGATTCATCGTGCTAGAGCTTGAGGCTGTGTGTACACGCATATCATAATAAGCTTCAAGACCGCCTTACGTATAAAGTCGAACACCGTTCATTCATCCATTCATTTACTCATTTCATTACCTCATCAAATGCATACCTCATTAGCCAGGCCAGAACGCCGCAAAAGTTCATAACCCCGTCCGATTTTCCCCAGCGAGTATATGCTCATCTTCCAAAACCACCGCATGACATAATAAACGCCACTCATAAGATCATAACTACCCTTCCGATGTTTTCATGCATTGCTCTCTTCATCTGCTGTGCCCTCGACGAGAATAGCTACGTTAACGCACGCTGCGTACGCTTCGCGGATTGCACATGGCATGCTAAGATATTATTAGTTTAGGTCCACATCCACATTTTTAAAAGACGGGAAGTATGATGGAGGATGTGGATGAGGGAGGAGAGACAACATATCAGGATAGAATAAAAGCAAAGGGAATGTATACCAAGTCCTTTCCACATCCGCAATAATAGCGCTTAATCCCCAATGACTACACCAAGCCCTCGCAAGAACCTCATTATCAGGCACACCAAACGCCTCAATTACCAATACCCTTTCGGCATCATAATCATTCTGCTTATCCTTGACTCCGCTTCCCGGTGATCCAGGTTCCCCCGGTGAAGGGTTGGTGTGGTTATTGAACCCGCCCCAATCCTTGATTGTTAGAATTTCAGAAACTTTAACGGATTTGTACTCATAGTCGTAGAAGAGAGGGTGAGGGCCGCGAGCGCAGGGGTAGGCGGATATGAAGGAAACATCGTAGGAGAGTCGTAAAGGCCAGGAACGACCTTCGATGGCGAATTGAACAGCCGCATCGTATATGATCGGTCTGCTTGGATCCTTGCTTCCAGGTGATTGGGGTGGGGATGGGGATGCAGAGGGTAGTGGTTTTAGGGCGAGCTTCTCTATCCGCACTGTGTCGTGGAAGTCATCCGAGTCTGGGAGGAGGAGCTGGTATTCCGCGACGGGATAGGAATCGGATGGTGGGCCAAGAGGATCAGAGCGCTCCGTCATACTCAACACATCGCTGATAGTGAGGAGTTGTTTTGGTCTTCGTTGACGGATACGGGCAATTCCTATGCGTGGCAGATCCGGTGCAGGTCGAACGGGTCCTATCCACCCAGCAACTTCGCGGCACGTTGGAGCTAGCACTTTGCCCACGATAGACATGCTAGACCAGTAAGTTGTGCCTTTGTATTGGAAACCGCTGTTGGGATGCATATGTGTTAATGCAGCGAGGGCATTTGCGCCCACATCGTCGTCACAGTCGATTAGGGAGTTCATGATTAGCCAGGGGAGGGTAACGCCTGGGAGGATCATCCCCGTGAAGTAGGACATGGCGTCTGAGCTCCTATTTTCGAGGGGTTTGACAGTGGGGTCTCGTTCTTTGAGGATGTTGTCGACTTTTACGAGGTTGGGCCATTTCATGGCTCGGGCAAACCTCCTCAGGGCTTTCACCTGTGACTTTTTGATTAGGAGGTGGAATTTTACTGTACACATATTAGCCTGGTACTATAGATCTTATGCTGGTAGGGCGTACTCTGCTCAGGATCGCCACCCGTCTTATATCTCTCGATGCTCATGCACTCCTGCCATTTCCTCGCCAGAGCCAAATCCCACGCAATTTTAGGTGGCAGCTGCGAGAGCAGCTGCTCCTTCGCCCAATCCGCATGATGTTTGGAATGGATCCTCATATCAAGCTCCATACTCAGAAGTAGCTGGTGAAAGAATAGCTTATATCTCCCCTGATCAGTATACGCAGCACTAGTGAAGAACTTGGCCACGACTTGATTCTCAGGCCTGCTAAAATCGATCCATTCGCTTCGCGAGAGCACGATGATCAGATCCGCAATCTGCTTCTCCATTGCCTTATGTGGACTCAGGAATTTGTCGGGGTCTTTGAGGAGCTTTTTGTACAGGTTGTGGTACATTAGATCCTCATAGTCCTCTTCGAAACCGCTCTCTAGATATATCAAGCGCTCCAGGACGGTTGATAGTTCGACTTCCCGCGGTTTCATACCTGGCTCTCTCAACTCGATGGCTGGATTCGGCTTTCCAGATAAGCTTACCCAATGGTTCAGCGTTACTGTGCCCGGCCTCGAACCGGTGCGAAATGAAAGACTTGGATGCTCCAACGTTTCCCAAGGGTGCTCCGCTGGGTCTGGGCCTTGCAGTCGAAAGGATGAAGCCGTAAATGGAGCAGTAAATGGGACAGCGCGGTCATTCCCAGCTTTTCCATTCCCCTCACACGTCGCATATAGATTGTAGTACTTCTCTGGAGCGTGTGGAATCGAGTGCCGAATTCCTTTAATGACGGGGACACCAGACGCAATCCACTCCATTGCCTTCCCCTGCTTGAGGCTCTCATCTTTCGATATACCCTCAGGAGGCCATTCCGTCAAGCCTGGAGCCTCGAGAGCCTCGAGAGCCTCCGAGGCATAGCTCGCGTTGGACTTGCGAGATTCCGGGGTTCTAGCCGGAGAGTGGGGTCGCGGACGTCTTCGCGGGGAGCGCGGATTTGCAGATGAAGGCCGTCGAGGAGATTTGCGATCTCGGTCGTGCGACTACGACTTACAGGTTAGTTTTAACATCGAGATGGGTGCTCTGAGGACCCAACGTACATTTCTGTCTGAAGCGCTGCTGTGGCTTCGAAAGATACCGAATAGCCTCCGCTTGGCCTCGCTCATGGGGCTATGATCCTCCATACTGCATCATATCTTATCTTGAAGTCGAAGGCTGAAAGTTCGCTGAACAACTTAGGGTGGCGTTGTTCTTCCTCGGCGAGGCTGATCAAGAGTCGGCTGTCGTCTCGGTGTTGAGGTGGTTTTGAACTCGTAACACGTCAGGTGTAGACTATAGGTAGGTAGCATTAGAAGTAAGGAGTGAATAATGTCTCATCAAGTCGACGCTATCCGAGGTATCAGAATTAAGAATTTCTTTGGTGGGATCCCCCGTCTATGTTTAGCATGTGTAGCCGCCATGGTTGGTGCTTTTGTGTCGATCCGTGACTGGATGGCGGAGGGCTGAGGGCTAAGCCTGGTCATGAGATGGATAATTGACTGGATGCCTTGATGTCTCTAGCACAGCCTTGCGTGTGTGCACGTCACGCATCAGGCGTTCAACTCTAACTCGTCCAGTCAACAACTCAATCACTTGCAAAGTACCCAGCAAGCCACGCAAGCCTATTCGCAAATGAATCTTAATCATAATCATGACTCTGTTTAATTTCTCCCTCTACTTCATAATATCGACAATCCCAAGCCAGACAAGGCAGGGCGTTCATACATCTAATAGACACGCTCCAGGTACAGAAACCATAACCAACTGAAAACCCTCAGTATTTGCCAACTCCACGCCATGCAAAAGTATGTAATGCAGAAACCGGGCAGAATATTCATAGAATAAACTGTGCTTGAATCCATGTTAAAACCCCTGTGTGATACCACCACACCTCACCAACGCCTCTCCCCCCCTCAAATGCCAGAATGCTTGAAGACAAATGCTTGCTCCCCCTCTCTATGCTTTATGCTAAATGAGACGCTAGACAAAAAAAAACGCCCGATCACTTCCCCATAGAATCTGCTCTTCGGTGTCGTGAAATTATGAGTTCGACTTTCTTCTTTCCATCGTGCCGCCATCACTACCACTTCTCTCTCGTCTAGTGCTATTATGACCGACATGTTGCTGTGCGATCCACTCTACTACTGCCTCGTAACATAAGACATATTGTCTCAAGCTCTGCACCATACTCAGACGCTGGCCTCTAAAATCCTCAACCGTCTTCTCAACCAGATCGATATCTTGATTGAAGATCCAGTCGCTATCTCCAGGCACTTGTTTCCCTTTGCCCAAATAATCACCTCCTTCGCTCTGGGAGGTTACTTCCATTGGCGTAACCCCGCCTGTCAGTTCTTTGCGCTGGCGCTTTAGCATGTCGATAGCCGAATCGATGGCGCAGAAAGTGCCGGTGCGTCCACAGCCAGCACTGCAGTGCACGAGCATGGGCCTAGGCGATTGATCCAGTTCGGGATCGTCTGATCGGGGTGACTGGGTAGGTGATGCTGCAGTATGCTGCATCAAGTTACTGAGCTCGACGAGGCTCAGGAGCTGGTTTGCGTTTGCCGGCGCCCCAAAATCCGGCCAGGAGGAGTAGTGCACCTGTGTAATCTCACGCATCGGCGTAAATGGATGGGCAGCATGCGAAAGAGTGAATTTGCGGACAATAGCATAAGGTATCTCAGACGCCGGAGCCGGAGGGGCACTTTCCATAGTGGTATTGGCCCTCCTTCTTGAGGTATCTCGACGGCTTTCAGACATACGACGCTGCTTGGGATCAAGAGACACTTTCTTTTCTGAAAGGCTCTTGAGCCGTAGTTGGCCGTAATCTTGGCTTGACCAATATGGATGGCACTTGACTTGTCCGCCTTCCTTTTCGGCCGTGAGCATTACGATCACCCGAACGTCTTGGTCCCAGACAACACTCCAGAAATCCTATAAACTATGTTAGCCGAATTCATTTTGTCAGTGACTCGGGAACTTACGTCAAATGTGGCAGGTAGGGGCCCTTGCGAGGCGATATACCTCTTGTTACTTCGTGACGCTTTGATATAACTGGCATTAACATAGTCGCAAGCACCTTGAGGGCGGCCTTGGAGTTTGACTCTGGCATGTTCGAATGGCCAGATGTTGTTGTACCTGTTCTTGCCACCTTCCTCAACACCAGCAATCTGAACACCTTGTGAACCAGCGACCGTGGCCCCAGCTCCGTAGAAGACACCTCCAGAGAGCGCTTTGTTCATTCTCGCCTGTTCGGCGAGCTCTAGGCGTAGAAAATTGTCCGAAATCCTCTTCCCGTGATCCTCCTTTTTCGTAGCCTTGACAAGCCATTCTGGGAGATATTTCTCAGGGCTTTCACTAATCGATTCCGGAAGCTTGACATCCATCTGTCCTACGCCATCAATTAAGTCCTGGTTTTGTCTGATATTACTGAAAAATGGATTGGCCGGATTCTTGTTTGCTGGCATCATGCAACCACCAGCAACTGGTGCGGCGACTGATTGTGAGGTCCCCAGAGACAAATTAATTTTTGATGGCTGTGCCCCCTTCGTGGAGCGGTCATCGACCTGCTGGGGACAGCACTTTGCGAATTCTCTAAACCCGCCTCTTAGGAGATGGCTGGTGCCTTCCCAGCCTTCATTAAAGAATTTATTAAGTGTATTCATTGCGGGCACGGCATCCCTCTTCTCCGAGGAGTATGCATCATAAACCACGATATGTTTCACAGTCTTCCAATTCGAAAACTTTTCCCTCTCAAGATCGTTCGTGAATGTGTCCTGTAGTTTCTTAAGATTAAAAGAGGGCCGTTTCAATAAGGTTGTAGGTATGCATAGATTCAAAGCACCCTCAATACGTGATGTCGCATATTGAGGGGAGACGCGAAGGTCCAGGAGTAGGAAGTCCGAGGGAGGCAGTCGTTTCATGATATCTCGCAGTTGAGATGGAGATATCATGGCAGGCCCACGCTCGAGCAAGCTCGGGAGCGTCGCGGCACGGTGAGGCGCGCTGGCATTTTGCTGTCTGTCCGGGGGCGTCGGAGGATCCGCCTTATTATGGGGTAGAGATAGACGTGGATGTCTGTTTTCGATGCTGGAGATCATATTACGCTGTTCTCTAGTTTCCGGAGAACTAATCATAGCCGGCGATTCTTGACGTGGGAGGTCGAAGAATGATGTAGACAGTGACCTCTCCACGGCACTCCTCATCTGACCTGACGCAGCCTGACCTGGACTCGGTCCCCCATCGACCTCCGTCCCATCAGCTGCTCCATGCCGTACCTTGGGGGATGGAAGGTGCTCCTTCACATCGGACCTGGTTGGCTTGTGATCAAGTCTCGGCCCCGGACTAGATGCGAAATATTGTAGATTGCCATGTCCTAAACTGAAGCCCTTGACTTCCTCCGTCTGCCTTCTAAAGGCCTCGAAATCTGGATTCGAATCTAAGGGTAGATGCTTTGGAGATACTCCTCCAAAAGGAAGTATGGCTGACGTCGGGCTCCAGTTATGTTTTGGGCCTATGGCTGAATCCCGCGGAGTGCTGGCAGATTCAACAATCAGGCCAAAGTAATTTGGGCTTGATGCCCGGACACCTGTTTGGGAGCCGGTTGACGTCCGTATTGTTGCGGAACTGGGTGGTAATTGCGAGCCCGACGTTCGCAATGCCGGGCTTAGAGGTGATGAAGATTTTCGCGACAGTGTTCGGTGCGATTGGGGGTGTGAAGTCGAGCTCGAGTGCGAGTGGGAGTGTGACGACCGAAGCGTCGGCCTCATGGCGGTCTTTGCAACCATTGTGATGGCTCTCTCTCGATCCTAACTGATGGGCGGACTCGGGGGCAACGTGGGATTCTAAACCTGGGTTATCTCCTCCTATCCATAGCGGTCGAATATTGAATAACAGCGGTCTTTTGGTTATGAGGCTCGAGGATATCGAGAGGTGGCGGGGGCCGGATCGGCAAGCGGGTATAGAGGAGAGATCGAGGGATCGGTAAAGGGCGACTTGCCACGCCGCGGGAGGTGCGCGAAGGGTTATGAGGCGGTTGTTGGAGGGATCGAAAGGGGTCGTGATGACGTCGAATGACGAGAGCGACGAATTCGAGCGTAACGCAGCAGCTGTCAGCCCAACAGGATGCGCGAGACAGACTCCTCCGAATCGACGGGGTTGACTGGCGAGAGACACGAGGGCGATGCGGTGAACAGTTTCGGGAGGATACAATGGTAGATTTCCTGCGGCCCCCCTTTTTCCTCCCTGGCGGGGCTGCTGTTGTCGCGCGGCTTGGAAAGTTGGGAGATCGGCAGAGAGAGGGTCTAGATGCTCGATGGATTGTGGATATGGGGTGTGGATGAGGACGCTGATATACAGTCTCTCGGGCAGCACTATGGACGGGGTGCTGGGTAGGGGTTCCAGGGTGGGAGGCGAGTTCTCGAGGACGAATACCGAGTAATCTTCGTACTACGGACGTAATATTGCTGGCTAAAAGGTTGAGGTGGGACGCAAAGGAGGAGGAGGGAACGGGGGTGTTGGAAGTTCAAGTCTGATACCGTACGAGTAAGGGTTTGGACTTTGTTTGGGTTGTGTTGGTGTGTTTGAGAAGATTTAAGGGCAAGGTTTATTACTTATTACCTCTACCTATTGCAAAGGGCGGAATCTCGAATTCCAAAATATCGTAAATAGGGGTGTGAGAATACATGTACTTTGCGGTCTAGGAATGGGGTCGCCGTCCGTCCTGATCGCCCCAGCTTCAGCCCTAGAGGCAACAAGGCGCTTTCCAGAGCTGAAGGCGTTTCTTCCGCCACAAACATGGCCATGGCGGGCTGGGTGCAAGTACCGGTATCTGCGGCTGATCAAGATACAAAGATGTATGATTATTACTGTACAGCACTTCGATGTACCGGCGATTTGTAAGTTACCTAGGTATGTAAACTAATCATGTTGATCCCGATCCAGTTGCTCATCGAGATGCGCCCCCCCTTTAAGCTCTCGAGGTACTGTACGGGGTAATACTACTTCTCCACGCTACGCAGGTACTATGTACTATACATGTACCCTTCCCTGCCAGATATATTCTGTAAAGCGGTTTACGCGCACAAGCACTTCGTATAGTACCTCCGCATAATCGGCCGCGTCTTCCGCCCAAAAGAGTGTAGATTAGAAGGTTGTGCATATCTTGTACAGGTACCGATACCGATGTGGAGAACAATCCCCGAGCCCGAACTACAGTTACTAGTGCAGGCCTTCACGGTACAGCACAGTACGGTACTGTACGGTAGTTGATAACTTGATAGATACATATATGGCACCTCGTTTGGAAGAAATAACAGTATATCAGCTTTTTCCATCTTTGACGGCGGCTGTTTGCCCCGCGCTGGAGCTCTTAATGTTAATGTTACAGTAGTCTCCCAGTACCTAATAGACAATAATAGGCTCCCGCACGTGGCAGTTCTCCCGCCCATTCGTCCCTTAAAGCACATCGCGTCATCCCGCCTCGAGCACACGACGATCGGTATTATTAATGAGAATGAAAATAATAAGGATTGAGGAGCTGCGGGTGTTCGGGGGAAGGGGGCAGGGGTCGAGCAATCCAGCAATGACCGAATGATATTGGTACAGTAATCAGAAGAAGTGCTGCTAGTGCCGACGGAGGATGCTCATAGGATGCTAACAGGAAGATCGATAGAGGCCTGGAATCACGCGGCATGACGTCGATGTGGGTTGTGGGATGGTGGCGGTCAGTCGTCCCACGGGCTTTGAGACGTCTGTCTTATTCATTATTACGAGTACGGAAGGGAGACTCTGCGGAGGGCTGGGAGGGATGGGACGGTCAGGAGCAGTTAGGAGGGTTAGCATACCGAGGCTAGCTTGTTGGGACTGCAAAAGACACAGTGGGGAGTTGCGCGGTGGAACAAATCAGCAGCAACGTCACTCGACAGCACGCCAATTATGGTCTCTTTGTTAGGTCGCCATAGCGCTCTTCTGGAAGAAGCCCCTCGGACTCCCTCCTGGACCCTCGAACTTGGCCTTTGATTTGCCGATGCGGGGGGCAGGACTATTTGGGTTCAGGAACCCCATCCGGCGCTCTTCAGAGGAGCTTGATATTCTGACACCAGCGAGGAATCCCGGAGGAGTGGAGAAACATCGTCGATCGACATCCACTAATTGAAAGGTCGAGCGATCTTCTCCCCAACAAAACTCGCGAAGGGTCCCGGCATCTTTACACCTCGGTCAACCCCCTTTTTCACACCTGTATTTTGTTAAATGAGGGTTGAACATAGCCGCACAAGGCGGTTCCTTATCGTTGCCCCCCTTGGACATACATACATAAGTACAGCACACATTCCGCGACCTTTCGTCATAAGGCTTGGCTAAGAGGCGGAGCGGAGAAGTGGTGATATCATACGCGATAATTGCCGCTATTGTATGAGACATTTGACGACTTGCATAGCTGACGATCCATGGGCCTATTATGAAGATCTATAGCGGGGTGGTAGCTGAAGTTGCACTGCGCTTCTAGCTATATCTCCACCCAGCAAAGCATCAAATAAAAAAGCTTGAATAGATATCTGAAGCTCCCCTGAGCTTCTAACTAAAAGGAACTTAGTTAGACAGCTGAAACGACACTGAGCCTCTAACTATATCCCCGCCCTGAAAAGCATTAAATAAAAGAAACTCAGCTACCTAGGTAGCTGAATTTATAGCTCCAGTTTATTGCCTCCAATACTAGATTTAATAAAGAAAGGCGAAAAAGCAGGAAGTTCCTCTAATAAGTTTTATGCCCGGTCACAATCAGCCAAAGCCCCACTAATCTTTAAGAATCGCACAAAAACAAACTTCCAGGTACTCCAATGCCACCGGCACTCCCCCCGTGATGTATTACAAACGAGAGTCGAAACTGGCTACAATACTTCATGGTAGGAAGAGAGATAGCTCCATTACTCTAAAGTGGTTGAATAAGTATCTTGGCCTAGCTATATGTTTAGCGGGCTTAATACCTACCTACATATGAGGGCTTGAGAATAAGAGTTGGTTGGTTGGTATGTGAAGACGCCGGGATACATAATCCAACGGCGGGCTGTGGAAATGGAAGGACTCACAACACCACAAGGACTAGATACATTATGATTTATATTTATGTCTCTATAGCGAGCCATTTTCTCCCTAATGGCCTGGGAACCTAGACCATCCCAATATAATACAGACGCCAAACCATGCTTCCAACCACCTTTTACTCCCTAAAACGCCTCACAAACCCCAATCCCCCTTACAGCTCCATCATCCCATCACCACATCTTCGCCCACAGCAACAACTTGATGATTCCCAGCATGCCTATCTCTCGCAATCATTCCCCGGGTATCGCACTGACACCCAGGACAATTATGAGCAACATCATGCGCAAACACATCGCAGTCGATGCAGAAATGATTTCCGCAGACCTCGCACGCATACCTGCCACTCTCACTATTCCCCTTGACCTCCAGGCCGCCCGCCACCTCGCCATTCCCATCATTCTGCGACCCCCATAGGGGCACTTCCGGGAAAGGTGTCAAACAAGAATAACACGCCTTTGATTTCTTCGCGTCCACCCAGGCCACCTCAACCCAATTCCTCAGCGGGAAGAGATGATGATACGACCGAGCAAGATGCGTGGACAGAATAAGAGTAAGCCCACAAGCAGGGCATTCAGCAGGTAGACTACAGACTTTCGTCTCGCATCTCGAGCACAAATATCCGCCACGACTTAGCTTGCTATGACAAGCGCAGAAACTCATCGCCTTGCCAGTACCAAAAGTCCTCGACGGAAATCCCATCATAAGCAGACTTGACTGAGACTGTTTCTTCGTGCGCGTCACAGGCGGCGTCGTAATCGCCATGACCAGCTCGCGGAAATGCTGCTCGTTCAGAGCCACGTTGTAATTACCGTCATCTCCAGCGTTGGTCTTGCTGCAAAGCTCGTCGCAGATAGCGACTTGCGCTGCTAGTCCAACGACAGATACGCGGATTCGATCTGTAATGAGAGAAGCGATCGTCTGATGGATGTCTCCCGGATCACTGGAAAGCAACGCCCCGTAAATTATGAGGACCTCGCGAGTCCCGTGGGACGGGGCGTGGTAGAGAGCTGCTCTGCTCATCTCGAGCGCATTCTGCAAACTCGGGTTTCCCTGCGGCTGTTGATCCCGCAGGGTTTTTAGACGCTCGATATGCTCGGTGGGATTCCCGCTCATATCGCTGATTCGGATTGCTATCCCATCCCGCATGCCTATTATCCCAAGTTGCGAAATAGGGTTCTGCTCGAAGTACTCGGTCGCGAATTCTGAGGCGAACCGTAGCGTTAGGAGATAGCGACTGGGACGCATGTCTTTATCTTCCATGGCGAAGGAGAGGTCGAGGACTAGTATGAGATGTCGAATAATTCCTCTTTGTAATGGTGTTGTATCCCGCAATAACCTAGTACAGAGTATCGTCAGCTTCCTGTGTGATAATTTCTTGAATTTGATATAGCATAGACATACCTTTTCCTCTTGCCCGCCTCCCTCAGCCCCTCAACAGTAGAGTTAATACTCCCATCTGCACCCTCAACGACCGTATCCCAACTCCTCTGGATATCTTCCCACGCGGCTCGCTTTCGAACGGTTCCAGCATTCGTATCGCCGCCTCTCGTGCCCGAGCCAGCAGCACCCCGAACCGGGCCCGACGATCGCGTACCATGGGTGGAAACCTGATGCGCGCCGATATCCTCGTCCGATATATCGTCAGCAACATACTCGCCATCCGAGTCCGACATGGTGGGCGCTGGAACCCAAGTGGTGGCGGAATGTGGAAGTGGAAAGCAAGGCTGAGATTTAGGTGTTGAAAGATATTGGGAGCCTCGCTAAGATTTCGGAAGCCTTATTTAGTTGTAGTAGAACGAAACCCCCCGGTTTTAATTTAGATAGAGAAATGGGGACTTTACTTGTTAGAGACCTAAGAATTTATAGGCTGCTTAATTCAATTATAATATCCAGAGCGTGTCAAGGAGGCTAATACTGATGTATATGACGGTGCGAACATGCAACCTAGAGAGCTTTTCAAGCCCAAGCTTCCACACCCCATTGCCTCGACTTACTAATGTTGAATGTTGCGAGGCCTACTAATAAAACAACATGTTCTATAAACCTTTTCATATATACAGGCACTAGATCCTTAACTTGTGATGGTAGACTTAGCTGGAGCGTTTTATTAGCCTTGCAGCTTCAGCCTTGTTTGAAGTCAGTTTCGTGATTTGGGTATCGAACTTGAATAATTTCTATCATTATCTTATATACAAGGAAAGCAGCCTTACGCTCATAGCCCCGCACCACCCCCAATGGCTCCTCTTGCGAACTTCCTTCATTAGCGCTCCACTGGGTATACTGTGCGCAAACTCATATATAGGCCAAACCTCAAATTTGCAGCATCTGAAATGCAAAATCGGCATGCTTTTCATGTACGACCACTGTCCTTGTGACCATCAAACCTCCATTATCCCCCGCTGAGCGAAGAGCTACTGTCATATTTCATCCTCTGGTAATTGTTACTGTGGTAAAACTTTCCGTGTGGTAATTTCAATAATATCGTCTAAGACCTGACGTCCTTTCTCGTAATAAAATGGCCCCCTGAACTCCTTTCCCATGCCGTGGCGTGTTCATCATGGGTACGTATTCGAAACAGGCATCGGCCAATCGTCTTCGGTAATGCTTGACCAGAAAACCCAGACCATCACCACAGAGAGGAGCGTGAATAGCGTCTCGAAGAGAGCTCCGTTGATCTTGCCGTCCGTGCCATTGCAAATATGGATACTGACGACATAGTTGAAGATTTGGCCGAGAGCGAAGAGTAAGGCGGCGGATCCCAAGTAGATCATTGGTTTGCGTTCGCCCAAGACTCGGATGACCAATGCTGTCTCAAGCGCGAAGAATGCGAAGAGGAAGATCAGAGGGGCTAGTTGATAAAGGACGTACAGCCCTATGTTTCGGTTGTTGCCGCTTAAACTGGAATCGAAATGTCCCGTCCAGCTATATCCTGTATCGAGAGCAATATAGCCAGTTCCAACGAAGAGTGCTGCGGCGGACGCCACGATGACCCCGATGGATAGCGGAGTACCATCGTCAAGCAGTTGATAACCCACAATAGCGTTCAGCATGAGAATCCAAAGAGTGGCAACAATCATGCCCAAATGGATACCGGTGAAGGCCTATAGCTTGTTAGCCCAGCACTTATTCAAGAGACGTTGTGATAACTTACAACCAGTACTTTGTGGTTTAAGGGGAATTTGCCGACGGTAAAGATCTCGCAGATCTCAATTATTATATACCCGATGAGGAAGATTTGCATCTCTCTAGAAAGCAAGTCAGCGCAGCTGAAACATGGCCTTTAATAGTCCTCGCATACCTTCTCCCGACGGCTGCTTGTTTTCGTTCTGACCGCCATATGAGATACGACGACACCACAATTGCTATTGCTGCGATTATTATCGACCCTGCGAACTATCAGCATTATTCCACACAAGCTTATTGCGACTCCACGAACCTAGATTGCCGAGATGTTTATTCTCCCCGGGGAGAGATATGCCCAATAATTGACATCCTCCCTCCAAGCCACTCGGATCCGTATAATTAAATCCAGGAAAGAGCTATTATAGAGCATGTTAGCATGATGACGATCGTGATGGCGGAAAGTTCTAATGGGCGACCTACGTTGCATACTGGGAGTGTCGAATCGCGACAAAAATTCTGTAGCCAAAGCGTGTCAGTGCAATTCCCCTTCGCTCGACCCTCGCCGCAGATGGCCGTTCGCCGCACGCAGGGTCCTGAGATGCATTGCATCGCATCTTGAAGCCACTCACATGAAAGTTTCCGAATTGCGTTGACCCCATCGTTCCTTATCGGCCGCCAGGCGCTTCCAGGCTGGCAGCCAAGTGTACTTGGTGAGTGGAACAATTCGATGCTGCTGGAGCTTCCCCGACTTTAACGTCGCGCCGAGTTAAGCAGTCGTAACGGAGAGGTTGCGCGCAATTCGGGGGACTTGGGTTCACCGAGTGTCTTCAGAAGACGGCCGCACGATGGCAGCAGGGAGGTATATATTCGAAAGATTTGGTTTATTTTTTTACGAGTGGCCAGGCGTTGTGGTCGGTCGCGGTACCTTTGAGGGTGGCCGCGAATAAGGTTCGGCGAGCCCAAGCAATCCAGGAACGCTCGAGAGGCCTTGTGCGACGGGACGGACTGTGGGTGTCGTCTGTCAATTGAGTTTCGAGTGGACAAGTGCAAAGGTATTCTGGAGCGAGGTTTCGATGCGATGGAGATACGGGGCGTTCGCAGCGTATTTCGGGAGAATGCGAATTGGGTGGATGGGATGGGATGGGATGTTATGGGATGGATGGACGGAGACGAGGAAGAAGCAGCAGAGGTTGCTACAGTGCCAGCTCATCGAATTGTATGGCCAGCAGCAGCCGGCGGACGGTGGTCGACAGGCCCCTTGGAGCCCTTGGAGATTGGATGCTTGGTTTCGCTTCACCCGCATCAATTTAAAAGGGCTGGAAAGGCCGAGGAACGTATTATGATCAAGGACGAGGCAAGGCCGCCGCAGGGATCTTTGATGAGGCGCTTCATGCTGGCTGAATTGCAAGATTTCATGCTTTTGTTCTGGAAGGAGGCTATTATTATTCTTATGACTTGTTACTTGTGACTTTTTCCCGCTTTCTTGCTCTCTCTTGCTCTGTTCTGCTCTGTTCCGTCCCGATTGATCTGCGAACTATGATTCTACGAGCTATGATCTATGATACCCATATATATAAATATATATACATTATACATTATTATACATTATTATTCGCACAATAGCATTCATCATACTTCCTACAGCCAGTCGTGTTGCCTACTCCGGACTCCAACGCTCGTGACTGCGCTGCTGGTGGCGGTTTCAAGTGCTCGCGTTCCCAGATTCTATGCAGGCGCCACGCTGCGAAGAATATAGATTGGCGGCCTCGATTGGTGGCCGATATGATTGAGTTGTTCTTTCGCGGGGAAAAGCTTCGTCGACGCGTGCGAAAGGCATGCATGTTCAAAAATAGAGCCAGATACCGTGCGAAGTACAGTACGGAGTACATAAACATATTCCTCAATATGACGGTGCTCCATGTGAGGCGGTGCATTAGCAGCCTCACGACTGCTTCGTATGCATGAGTGATGATGTCTCCATTGGCCGTGCCAAGGATGAAGAAGAAACAAGTCGGAGATAATTGCTTCTCCAATCCAAGGGGGTTTTGTGGCACCACCGAAATTATTGCTTATGGCCCCTCAAAGACACCGATGCGAGGGATCTCCTACCGTCAATTCCAACCTCCTAGATATTGGCTATATCGTGGGATTTCCGTGTCAATTGATCGAGTGACGCAAGGGCATTATCACAGTACTTCGTATTTGTTTTCTCCGTACCTACGCTATCGTGGAGGGTGGACGCTACCTAGGAATATCCCTTCGCTCCCTCCTGTGCTCATGAGGCTGGTAAGCAGCAATACCTCCACTGCCGTCATAGTCGATGCGCGAGTCGCTAATATTTCAGCACTTGATTCGGCCGCCCTGTTTTGGTATCAAGGGATTGTTCTTTTATAATAGTATACTCAGAGAATATTTTCTACCCATCATATTTCTTCTCACTCCCTGCTGCATTGTGCGCATTTTGCCTGGTTATTGACTATCGGGGGCTTAATCATCATCCTGCATCCAAGATTTATTGTTGTACTTCGTGCAGACCACTCACTTCGAATGGATATCCATTCGATATCCATTCGAACCACCTCCTTCACTTGTGGCGGCCAAGTCCATACGAGACGTTTGCATTTTTGAGCTGACGAATGCCAAGGACAAAACGGGGTTTTTTTTTTCATTCACCAAGACATGCGCTCTGGTGTTTTCTTAGCACTGGCAGCCATGTTTTCGAGTAAACATGACGATATCGTGGCTCTCGGACTTCGGTGATGCAGCATCATAACCTGATCAAGGAAACCACAGCTACCATAAGACTTATCCTTAGCACTGCCGAAAGGCACCTAACTTGCCTATATACACTGGGCCACTTGTGCTTTTTTTTTTGTACTTTGCCAAGGTAGCTTTTATTTAATTTCTATAATGGCGGCTTATAGTAATGGGTAGTGATGCTCGTGGTGAGTAAGGTCTGTAGGTCTTATCGCGTTCCTGATTGCCCCTTAGCTTGAAGATTGTGAAATGGTACTAAGAACGGCGGCGAGGTACGCGATGCCATGCTCCGGACCTGGTCTACAGAAGGACAAAACACTTGTTCACTTGTCTTTTATATTTCTTTCCTTCCTTCTTCTCTACTTGTATATACTCTGGACATTTCATCCCACTTATTTCTATTCCCTGTTAAGCAGTACGTACTGCATTCGGTTCCTCTTATTCATAACATATCGCCTCGGGCTCCTCGGCTGCTGCTCCTGTGCCTTGGACTGGACTGGCGCCCAGATCCGGTTTGGTGGCACTGTCACGTGCGCCCCTCAGCCCAGCCAAGCCAAGAGCGTGCAAGATCGCCTGCATCGCCTCCGTCTCCTATCATCTGGTCATTTCACGCCAACGTTAGCAGCTCTTAGCAGCCTCCACAACCCTTAGCCAGCGCATTCCCTCCACAACTACCTCGCGATCCCCCATCACCAGTTCACCGGAACAATCATCCTCCCATATTGCCATCTTCACACCGGTCATCCTTCCCCAGAGCACCCCACGCCCGTCCAGTCACGCCCTCCGTCTTGACGGTGTAATTCTCTAATGCATGAGCACCTGACCGGACCGTTCCACTTTCTGCGCGTCCAGCCTACCTAAAGCCAACTCTCGTGGAGTCGATGTAGCTGGCTGCCAGTGAACCCGCATCGAACGACGCTATCCCCGGGCCCTGAGTACAGTACCAGTACCAGTACATACCTAGTTGCAATCCATATCAGTGCCTGCCAGTGTCTTAGCCAGTGCCTGCTCTACCTGTCTCTACCGACCGGCCTCAAATTCCACGACTGACGGGCCTCCATCTGCAACCCAACCCAACGCAACCTAAATCCTAAACCCCCCCCC